AAGAAAAAGAGTGTCAAATCCAGGAAATGTTCTGCCAAAAATTCTATTCTTGTCTATAGTTACGATTCAGCAAAACAATCCCTTTGTCATCAACCATGAACCATAAGTGTGGGATGGTAGAGTGAACATGCTTAAGTTGATTCAAACCCTTCCAGAACTGAAATGCACCCAAGGGGTTTATCTATCCATGAGATACCTTGAAAAATCTCAGTAAGTCACGATATCAGTTTATATCAAATCTCGTCCAAGCAAATAAGCTTTGGATTCAAGCACAGTTGCAATCTATTCCATTTTAACTTCCCTTTTGTTCTTTCGCTCCATTATTGCTTTAACTCTCCAGCACCATCCATAAGAGTTATTGGACATTAACAGAAAGATTCTTAATATGACAATGGATTGTCTAGTCTATAACGGTAACAAAAAAGCATCAGGAGAAACTGAATAGTGTTCTCGCCTTTGATGAGGATAATCCAAATCCAAATCCAACGAATGAAGCCAAAAGTTCATCTCTTTAGTTTGCGCTGCTTAATCTCTTTGATTACACCATCAGTTAGTGAATCGACATCGCTATTCTTCCCAAAGAATTTTACGAATTCCATATTAGGATCCATCAAGTACCTGCACGAGAAAGAAAGGCCAGAATTCATAAAAGGTGTCACTCAAGCTATCAGTATCGGGATTAGTTTGATTACATGAGTAGTTTAGCATGTAAGAATGAAAATCAGATTATTACAAGTGTGATTATGAGAACAAGATTCAAGCTCAAAAATTACTACCACCCTTCCCCTTTAATAGCATAGCATTTTTCCCTTGCCATGACATTAAGCGTTCACTTCGAAAATAGGTTCCTTATCTCGTTGTCTAATCAAACAAATCTTGCCTGAAAAATTTTCCATCTTTTTTCTATTTTGAGGTTCTGCTATTTGTGTTCATCAACATATACAATATGCCAATGTCTCCATATTCTACAAATAGAATATCATGCTGATACAAACTACAGATGCAGGTCAAACCAAACGATGCACAAAGAAGCTAATACATACATGACTATGGAATGATCAACGAGGTAGTCTGAATCTTCCTCTGCTGTCTTCATATAATAAACTCGATATGCACGAGCAACTTTCTTTATCTCATCGGAGGTACCAGTTAACCCAATTAATTTTGCATGAAATTCTGCAAAAGTGGAAAACAATTACAGAGAATAAAAAATTTGATGAACCAAATTATAATTAGTATATGCAACTGGATCAAAATACCCGGCTTTAAAAAATACTAAGAAGTACCTTTCACGTATTCACGTACTTGCTCAGTGGTATCTCTCTCAGGATCGACAGAGATAAATACAGGCACAATTTCTATTCCCGCCTTTTCCTCTAAGATAAAAGAGATGCAAATAGAAATTAAAGATAGTACAAATGTTACTGATCACTATGAGATATTTATAGTTTGAAAAGTTCCAGTCTCATTTTCTTGTTTCTACACTAAATCCAGAATCAGATTTTTTTCTTTGATTATAAACAAGTTTAACTAACTAAACAAAAATACAATTCATAATTTGCTTCGTCAGAGAGAAGCACCACTTCCTTTATCTAATCCTAAATCCATACGAATAAATTCCTGCCAAATGAAACTATCAACAACTTACTTATTTTATCAACAGCGGCAGCTAGCTTTTGTAGCTCATCTGGGCAGATATCAGGGCAGTGAGTGAAGCCAAAATATATCATAGTCCATTTCCCCAAAAAGTCCTTCTCAGTAACAGGTTTATCATCATGGTTTATAAGACTAAACGGGCCACCGATGGCTGCTTTTCCAGCTGATGGCCCCTCTTTTACAGCCTTCGAAGCATTACTTATTTCTGCAGCAGTAATCCTTAATCAGTATATGCGAGAATGAAAACACAACATGATAATACCACTAACTAATTATTAAAAATCAGAGATATTTCCTTCAACAACAAGCCGGATCAAAGCAACTCTTTCCACCCTAATTATTACAATTAAGTTTTCATGAAACCACTACTCTTAGCTAAAGCCTTACACTTGAATCACATAAACATGAAACTTAAAGACATTTAAGAGAGACACATTATGATGCTCGAACTCGCAAGTTACATTATATAAAAGACACAGCCTTTTTGTTCTTATGTTTTGTTTCCCAGCAGAACTCAAAAACACAAAACACAACTCACCATAGAAGTGTACCTTCAATATGCCGTTTCTTTTCCTTGTCATAGTAGAAGATAATTCCCATTCCAGTGGCAAGCAGCAACAGAAAACTCAACCATGAAACAGGCTGCAAAATCCCAAATTTCAATCGTCACAAAATCCAAAATGGGCAAAAGAATTCAGAAAAAGAACCAATTGAAAAACAAAAGAGAGTACCCCGCCGCGAACAGGTTTGCCAGCATCACTACCGCTCTGTTGTGAACCTCCAGAGCTTTGGGTTCCTTTAGAATTAGCTTTCGACGATGATGACGATTTTTCTTGATTGTCAGAAGTAGAAGCAGCAGCAGAACTAGATAAATATCTCCCACATATTCCTAAAGATTTGAACCCAGCTCCAACAGGAATAACCTGTGAGTGTGACCCCAACTTAAAAAAATCATCATAAATTTGAAAGAATTTTGTTGGTTTTTCTCGAAAGAAAAAGAAACAAATGAAGAGGAGAACGAACCGGTTGCAAGAAAGGGAGAGATGGACGGTGAAGATTGTCGGCGATCGGTGGCGAAGATGAAACGGAGGATCCGCATTGCCTTAGAGTGTGGGCACAAAGATACCCACGAAAGTTTCGAAAACGACTTGCGCTTCTCCAAATAGCAAGACTAGCCATGAATCTAATTCTTTTGCTTTTTCTAGCAGTGTTTTGATAAACCCTCCACGGACAAGGGGTTTTGCAATAGGAATAACTTTAAAAGGAAGAAGACGACCCTCTTACCAAAGGCCTCTTAGAATTTTTGGGCTTTTCTTTTCCATTTTCCAGGAAATTCTATTTGGATTTCGGGCTGGCTTCCTTTTGGTGAGCACCATGGCCTGAAGCCCCTTTGGCACTTGTGGGAGTCTAGAGTAGAATCAAAGCCCAAGAGGCTAATGCCCTACTCGGCCATTTTTCCATTATTTTCTTTTTCTGCAAATTTTCTCACGCAGCAAGAATTGAAATTTCACTCAGATGATGTTAATGGGAAAAATGGCCATGGATTAAAGGAAATTCAGATTGGTTCCCATTTCTTTGTTTGGTAGTAAGAAAAGGATAAATTAATATCTTTCACATCAATGAATTGAAGGCTTTGGCCCTACCTGGAAATGTTACTCCATCTGATTTTTGACATAACTTTGTCACCTTTTGCTCTCATCTTCCTCTTCCCAGGAAATCAGAACGTCATATCCAGTCTTTTCTCACAGAGTTAAGTCTGTTAACCAGAGCTATGACTTGACACTATATTCTCAATGCAATGAAAAGCACATCGGCACAAGCCACAATGTTCAATGCTTAGCACCAGAATTTCAAATCATGAACCTATTACAATATGGTACACATCATCTTTTGTATAATTTAAGAGAATCTCAGCTCAGTCCAAAGAGAGAAAAAACCCCTTCCTAACATAGCTCCTGTGGATTAGAATGCCTGCGGTCACCCCTCTATTTCACGTGGATAGAATACAGCGAGCTAGATTATCAACGACAGTCACACAAATTGGAAGCACTAGCATATCCACCGCATCAATGGTTCTTAGACTGAACAAAGACAAGACGTGGTTAGAAACAATAAAACATCCACCGAAGAGAATACATGTAATATCAACTTAAATGGTAGCAGCTAACATCAATATTTTTCGTGATTTCTTTCATCTGTTCAGCAAGTTCTTGCCTCTTCTGCTCAGCTGCATGCACCATAGCCAACAATCCACATTAGCAAGTTCTTTCTTGGCTCTATGTTTAAATATATGGCCAAATTCACAGGATGATTTAAATAAAGACAGAAGTAACAGAAGGAAACAAGCACATACCCATACTGGAAATATCCTCAATCTTCTTTGATGTCCTGACGGCAAACCTCTGGAAGGCAGGACTGAAAAATAAAAAACCAAATAAATTGTCAGTCCTCCATAAAAGTCATATAGCGCCAATAGAATGAAAGTAAATCATTAACTAATGAACCTAGATGGACAAATACTCAACTCAGGTTGTCAAACTACAACAAAACTTTCTATAGGCCATTAAAGATCAAAGTGAAATTCTTTTTTTGGTTCATAGAAAAATTTTCTCAAACCACCTAAATGCGTACTTTACACTGAACATATACCTAAGAAGTCTAGCAAAACTAAAATTAGTTATAACATATGTTTCTGGATCCTTTTGCCTATGATTTACAAAACTTAAACAAAATTTGATCTCAAGCGTTTGAACAGATCCACTAAATAAAAAGTTGGTAATATTTTCAATACATTTATTACAAAAAAAGGAAGCGGGACTGGTGTTTTGAGGTTAAATCTTCTCAAATTTCCTTAATCCATAATGCATGGCATGTTGCATTACAGATTTTATATATATATATATATATGACGTGCTCTTGCTTCAAGGGAACGAGCTGATGGGTAACCAATCAGTCCTAGCAGCCAGGGAAAGAAACTTCTAAGTTGTTAACAGAACATTATCGCACAAACCGATTATCAAGTCATCACACTCATTTACTTCCCATATACTCAACCTTTGTCCAGATATTACCAATAGGATATTGGTCCCAATGGTAATCAAAAGATTCAAGTGAAAATATTGATTTCACTGCTTCAAAGTCTATAATTATAACTAAAAACAAAAGAAATAATAAAAATGGCAAAGGAAGCTCTAATGATGTTTTAATAATCATCGAATCAAAAGGCAATAGCCCGAGGAAAAACTGAGAATTATGGCAAATTTTTCTCTGAATTCATAAAGGTAATAACTTTTGGAAGTCATGAGCTTTATTTGTCTTCTCCTAAACCAATAAGGAATCATTAACCTAAACTCGCAACAGCCTAAACCGAAGCTTCAATCAAACGATTTTCTTTACCATAAAATATATAATCAATCATCACATATTAGCACACAAAATTATAGTCTAAAAGTTCCTAATCTTCAGCACGTAAGAAAATTCGATTTAAAATTAATGAAAAATACGAAAATATATATATATACAGAGAGAGTTACCTGTTTGCTAGTCTATCAACGACAAGTTCATTGACGACGTAGGATATAACTCTGTGCATGAAATTCCCTCCCGCCATGATTCGCTTTTCAAAATCTGATGAACCTCAAATCACAATAATTAAATACAAATATCAGACTAAGAAAGCCCAAATTCAATTAAACCCTAACCTTTTTTTGACAAAAAAAAAGTTATTATAATTGCAAAAAAATGTAAAATAAAAGAAATTTTCCCAAAGGGATTTTGATATTTAAGGAGGAATCGCAGAATTTTACCAGCCAGACGATGAAGACGCAGGCTCCTCTGTTTCTCGGGGTTTCTTGCTCTCTCTTCAGGTGAGCTTGAATTTCGTTATTTTGGGTCGCGCGCAGCCGCCGGAGTTTTTGATTTCCTTTTGGGTTGAACCTCGGTCCAGGGCTCGAGCTAGGCTCGGGAGTAAACTTTCCGAGTTGTAGTTGGATCATGGGCTTTCATACGGCCCCAAACTATGTTATTAGGCTTTTGAATGAGATCAATTCATTTTATTATGCGTTCAATTTAATAGACATAACAAGTCGTGTTATTGTGTTCTAATCATGTCATATTTAGATTGAGTATTAATAATTATATAAATAAATATTAATATAATATAATTAATTAAATGAATTAAGATTATAAATATATATGTGAATTTGTTTATTATATATGTTACCTCGATATAATATGATTAATAAGTTTATTAAACAAATTGAATTAAATTTTATATAATGCAATATAATTATGATTCGAGAGAATCATATAAATATAATTAACAAGATTAATCTATTTAAATAGTATCATAAATAAGTTAAACATGTTATATTATACGAATTGCTACAATAATACGATTAATTAAACTAATTAAACATATCATATGCAGGTTAAATAGGTTTAATCCATTTAACATGTTAAACATGATAATTATAGATTCGAACCCATTTAAATTTGTGTCATGTTAACAGGTCATTTCTAAAATTATCAAGTCTAGTGTTCGGTTGGATTTATAGGAGATTGAAGAAGAAAGTAAATTTCAATTTTTCAACGATAAGTTTTATTTTGACCTACTGAAAGAAAATTTCATTTTCACAAGTTTAATTATATGGCATCACCTTATGGAAAAAATTTTAATCATGCAATTTAATATTGTTCTTACGTATTTATCATTTACAAGTAACTAACTTGAAAGTTATAGATTTATTATGAAAATTATCTATCAAAAAAGTGTATAAGGTCAAAGGGAATTTTGACTTTTTGGCCTACTATTCGAAACAGAAAGTTAATTTGGACTTAAATAAGGCATATAGAAGCTTTTTAAAAACATATTTAAGAAAAAAAATGGAAATTGCAACAATTTTGTTTGTTTTCTAAGAAAGTTTACAGAAACGAAAGCTAAGGTCAAAGAAAATTTGACAGGACAAATCCCATGATAAGTTTGCAATTTTCCCAAGAAATTATTAGATTTGGTGGTCCAACTGGATAAAGGGTAATGGGGTGAAACTATTTTGCTTTGCAACTTTCTTGTCTTTTTCTTTAATTTAGATTTCATAGAAACACCTTTAATATTTTTTGTTTTGAACCCTGAAGATACAATTTTACAGATGATTCATTGGAACTTTGGAAGTTCTTTCTTTGTCACAGGTTGTCAAAAAAAAAAAATTGCTTGATTTGCTAAAATAATACAACTTGCAGATACAAATGAAAGAACTTTTTGAACACATAAGGGGGTTGGAAAAAGAAAAAAAAAATTTACAAATGTGCTAGAAAGATTTGATTCCAGATATCAGGAACTCCAGGTAGGCACCAATGGATGCAATCTGCATAGTGTCGTGGGTCTGCTTTTTCCTCATCAGTCAAGAGCCTTCCCCCTGTCTCTGTATAGATCGATGAATGTGCATCGATTCTGTACTCTGAAAGCTGTGTTATGTTGAGGACCGTGACAGGAACTTTCATTTTCTTCAACACACCGTCCAGCACGCTCATCATCTTCTTGTCTGAACCACTTCCCCAGAACTTCTTCTTTATCACTGGCTTCGTTTCGTTGAAGCATTTCAGCCCATCTTCCTTGCCCCAGTCTTGGCTCCTGGAGAGAAAGAGATTAGAATTTGATACAATCGGCAAAAGGGGAACTTCTATCAAGATTTATGCAGGTTTGCCAGAGAAAGAGAGAGAGACCTTGTGTGTATAGGGGACATGGTTGTGAAGAAAACTCGGGTCTTGTTGGGATTTATGGTTGAATCAATCCAGTTAGCCCATGTCTTCAGACCAACTTTGTAGGCAACTGGTGTATCCAGCACTGTATAACCTTCTTCACCATTAGCGAAGGAACCCCATCTGCATTTTTTTAACAGAAATCAATGTTACTCAAATTCCAATCTGCCAAGTCTTAATGCTTCAAAGAAGCTTTGAACATTATATCACACGAAACAAGCTGCAGGGTTCACGAGTTAACTCCACTTTTGATATGTTCTGAAGAACTTGGCTTGATTGACTCAGATACAGCGGCATTGTTTCTTTAAAACTAGAGGGATTGACAGAGAACTTACAATGTCTTGAGCCTAAGGCCGCTCATCCACCAAACATAAGTATTAAACGCAAGAATATCAGCTCCTTCCCAGTGTTTGGAGTGATTGGCAACTGAATCAACTTTTAGAATCCTCTTCTTTGGCTCTAAAACATTGATATCCGTATTGGATTCAATAAGAAATGGAGCCCAGAAAAATTCAATGGTTGCATTATACTCCTGACAATGGGGATTGGGAAGCATTAGCTTTGTTTTTCTGATAACCTTTTGCTTTCCATTCAAGCAATGGACATGGAAGTCTATTCAATACCTTGGCTGTGAAGACAGAACGAACTCTGCCTCGTTTCATAGACTTCTTTTCTGGAGGTATAGTCCATTCTATCATACAAACGAAAGATTCCCATTGATTTCTTTGCAGTGAATCCCCCGAAAAGACTAGCCTCTTTCCTCGAAGCTTTTTCAGTGCAAGTTCCGGTTTAAATCTACACACATCGAAACATTAGAAGAAAGGGAAAACTATGACAAGAAACTGTTCCATTTCCATGCATGAACCAAAAAAAAGTTTCTTACCTTGGCAAGTTGCAGTCCTCTGGCTGCCATTCCCAGTGACGGTAGTCGAAATCAAGTCGACCATTTCTGACACAAGCAAATTGCATGTCGATGTATGGGCAACTCCTATCTGTGTACAAAGGCTTGACAGAACGGTTGAACACCCACTTCCCATTGGCAATATTGCACTCTTCAGGGTCAAACTCGAACCTGTCATCGATTTCGGGGTTTTCTAGGTTCTTCTCTGTAGTTTTATCCTCTGTTGATCAGACAACGACAACTCAACATTAGAATCTCTTTTCACTAGAACGATCTGAACAGGAAAAGTTTTCAATTTATTAACAAAACTCCTGTTGAGTTTTTTCTTAGCTATACAACTTACTAGCTTTTGCAACAACACCTCTTCTAGCACAGGACTTGGATTTCAGAGTAGAACTTGAAGAAAGAAAACTTATTCTTTCGGTATATAGGAGAGCAAGGAAAGCAAAACTGCAGACTATGACTGTGATAATAGAAAAAGGTAGCTTTCCTCTGTAAGTTTTCATCATGATGGTCGAAGGGGATGCTGCAAAGCTCATGGTTGGAGGGAGAGCATGAGAGGAATTAAGCTCAACGGTGGAATAAAGAGTATGAGCTGGTGCAATAGAATGATGAGAACTTCCCTCTTCACCCATTTCTTTTTTTTAAATTTTATTGGGTGTTTTGAGTAGGAGTAAAGCTAAAGCCAAGTATGGTTGGGGCTTTAACATCCTTTTTAGCAAAATAGTGGGGGGTTTAGGAGTAAGTTGAAAGGCTAACATCTATGCGAAATCCTCCCTTTAGTGGAAGCTACATGCTTTCATAACCATTTGATTGCCATTGCCATCAAATATTTTAGATGTTTATGAATATTTTCGTTAGGTGGGGGGAAATTTAATGAACAATTTGTTAAAAACAGTGGTCAGGAGTGTTAAAGCAATCTCTCATCTCTCTCTCTCTCTCTCTCTCTCTTTTGACTTGTGTGTTCATACATGTACATATCATTGCTGAATTTGATTAGTTTTCTTCTTTTTGTAGCAGGTGAAAGTCACCAATCGTATTGTTCCCTGGTGGAACATGATTTGGACTCATGGCCTTGAGGTATCTTTTTACAACCCCATGGCCATGTATTTCACTTCGATATATATATTTACACACTGTAAGGGGAGAAGCAGTGGGGAAATTGGGAATGCCTTGTGTCTTAAACTTCCAATCCTTCTAGCCCCAAGAACAAGGCATTGTGGGAATATCTGCATGCTATCCTCATGGTCAATTTTCAATTTTCTCAAAGAAAAAAAAAATGAAAAACCATCTCAGGTTTGAACACATCTCACCTTGTTAGGTGAATAATTCTCCACTCACTCTCAATTGGGTTGAAATCTACTTGCCTTTGGGGAAAACATTAAGCAAATAGCAATCGCTCAAAAATACCACTCCTAGCATTAAATTGTTATAAAAGAAAGGACATTTTGAGAGGAAAAGCTGTAATTATTGTTACATTAAGCTCATATTCCTTTTTGGTACAGTTACAACATTTAAGATCGATAATCGGCATTATAAATAAAGTTGATGTATGTCCTGTAAATCAATGGACATGTTCTTTTATAATTAATTTTACGAGTTAAACTTCTATTTTCAGAGAAATGTGAGAAGCAGAGATTGATGAAGAATTAAGAAAGCATGGTGTCCCCATCTATTACTTCTAATCAATAATTAAATCCACTATCTCATATGCAGAAATCCCATCTCTATTCATTAGCTGGCAGTAGTCATGAGGGGGCTGTAAATGCTTAGCTATTTGGGGAAAATAATGGTCTGCAGAAACCAATCATGGATGCAGCCTTTCTACTGGAAATAACACACAATTTCCCATCTTCATTGCTGTCATTGCTTCTTCAAATTCAAACATTTCAATAATCTCCTCTGGCCCCCAAGATTTTACAGGTTTGATTTCGACTCAAGAACCTATGCTGGAATATCTCCAACTGCTTGATCATCAAGACAAATCCAAAAAAGGGATCATCCCATCCTCTAAGAGCCCATTGAAATGCATTGAATTGCCCAGGGCAAAACAAGGGTTCCTTTGCTTCGTTGTCGACAGGCTGAGGATGTTAACATCGCTTGAAAATTAGATACTGGGGTGGTGTCAAAGGTGACTCCGTCGCTTGAAAATGAATTAAACCAATTCAGGTATTCACGTTACATCTCTTTGAGTGACAACAGTCCTAAAAAAGGAGGCTTTGTCTCACTGCAACAGGGGCCTGCTGTTTCGCTGCCATTTTACTCGAACCCCTTTCCCTTTTTTTTTTTTTTATATACATATTTCCATTTTTGTTTAAACAAGGGAGGTTGGGTGCATTCGGAGTCCTTAAGGAAATAGTTAACTATGGTTAAGGGAATCATGCAATTTGCTTTTGCAACAATAGCCAATAATGCCATAGCGGTTCCGGGGTTTCCATGCATTCTTTCAAGTGGAGGGGAAAATCCAATTTGGTGAGGAGGGAAAGTTGCTTTTAGTTTTCATGGGTGTCTCCTTCAAGAAAGAAAGTGAAAGAAATTGTATCTATCAGGTTAATCTTTTGGATAGAGGGTAATTATCTCATGACGAAATAGTATTAAAATATACTTGATTTAAATCCCATATACGTCAAGCATATTCAAAGAGGAGACAGGTATAATGACGGACGATCGTCAAATTAAATAAAAATCAATATTATGTCAAATGATTTAAAATAAATAAATAAAATATTCCAATTTTAAGTCAGACAAGAAAGATGATTTTAAAAAAATTATAAATGTGACCTTTACGTGTCTTACCAAATTAATTTTTTTTTTTAAAAAAATAATAATCTTCTAAAAAAGTGGCAAATGAGGTCATGAATAATTTATCTTGCTCCCTATTCAAATTAACATGAAATTCACATGAATTAGAGAGGTCTTAGTCAATAAAATATTGAGGTTTTGGCAAATCATTTCTGTTAGACAAAGCAAGGATCAAACACATCACATCCAGTCTCTTTACAAAATAGTTAAATGAATATCTTTTTGTTGGGGGATTTTGGTTGGAAGATCGTGTGCATGTTTCATTGTTTTGCCTAACGTCGAGTAATATATCTTTAATTATACTATTCCAATATGGTAAAGTTAGGCTAAATAGCAATTTCTGAAAGTGCTATTACGTTAAACTTTATTTCTAAGGTAGTTTAGTCAGTCAAGTCAAGCCCGTTACACAATCTACGCAATTAAATAGAGGTAAACATTATTTTGTGTAAATCGAAACAATAATTATTTCTATGCAAACTTAATCACTTAAGTTGAGTGTTAAATTCAATTCAAGTTTGCTTTACAAAAACATAATTAGATTTAGGGTGATTATGAAGAAGTGTAAATCGAGATAATCAATTGAATTTAATCAATTCAATTCAATTTTTTTAAATTTTATATTAATCAATTAAATCGAAACTTATTGAATTTGATTAATTCAAATCGATTTTTTTATTTTTCATAATAATCAATTAAAATGAATAATTTATTTGATTATTTGGAACAATATTGACCAATTGAGCCGACTTTTAAAACCAAATCAAGCCCACCCCACAATCTACATAGCTAGATTGGGTAATTGAAGCGAAGCCCATTTTCCTTGGGACAAAAAGTTAAAAAAAAAAAAATGGGGAAACTCTTTGCCTTCGAGCTCCAACTGGCAAGCTGAAGCGAAATATCCGGGTTTCAGCAAAGCTCTGTTTCGAATGGCCGCATTCAATCTCTCGCCACTCCCTTCTTCTTTACTTCGCGTACTCTCATCTCATCATCCCCGAAATACCCCCACCCTGTGCTTCTATTCACGCTTCACCCCTTCTCTGTCTTTTCCTTCCGTTTCCCTGAGACCTCTCACCTCCAAAAAACCGCGCTCTTTAATCATCGCTTCAGCTCTCAAGAACCTCTCGGAGGTGGAACCGGTTTCATTCCCGGAAAAACCCGAGGAATTCGTCGCTAAGTTTCCGTCGGATGCCGGAGTCTACGCCGTTTTTGATCACAACGACGATCTTCAATTCATCGGCATCTCGCGTAACATTGCTGGCAGCCTTTTTAATCATAAAAAATCGGTGTCGGAGCTTTGCGGCTCCGTTAAGGTACGTTTAATCAATACTTCTTTTTCTCCTTTGCTTTCCTTATCAATGATTATTAGTACTATTTCTTTGGATGATGATTGTTGAGTTTGGTCATTTAGGAGTAAATGAATTGCAATAAATAAAGTGAAAGAAATTAATAAGACTTGAACAGAAATAATTGACCGAGCTGGGTTGAAGGATGGGGATGTTTGAACCAATTTGATGCTTGAAGTTACGAGTTTAATGGGATTATAACAGAATAAAGATTGTACTATTCAATTCTTGGAAATTTTCATTCTTCTTTGGGGTTTTTCGAGCCTTGTAATTAAGTAATTCTAACCACTTCTTGATCTGTGTCTTGTCTACCAGTTCTGATTCAAACAAAATTTGGATTCCTTTTGTTGTTTTGAGGGAATCCCGTATCCATGAATTCATTGAGTTAATAGTCTTTGAGTGGCCAAGTGCCAAGTTTTCTACAAGATTTTGATGTTCTATGTTCCCAAAGTTGTGATGGTTGTAGCTGTTTGTCATTGGGTGGATCTTGATGTTTTCACAACTGATTTTGGTGGCCTGTTCTTATCTGATGTGCTGGAATTGATTGTTTTAGTGGTCAGAAATTTAAGGTGAATGATCTTTATTATGGTTTTATTCATCATGGAAAATCAATTAGACAGGGACTAGATTGAATTGGAAGTCAAATGATGCACGCCCAAGGTGGGTGGATTATATATAAATGTTGTAGTTTGAGAATTTTCAGCATGAACCATCCATGAGGTTTGAATAAAATAACCAGAGCTTGGTTCAATTCTTACCAAGCAAACTGAATTGGAATCCCCACCAAATCCACTTGGCTTTGTTTGTTGTCTATCGTTTTCTTAATCCACTTTGTTCAGAAGTCATGTCGTGGTAATTCTGCTGGTGTATTTCTTGATGATGTGAATGCAATCAAACAGTTATTACTCGTCTGATATTTATTATGTCATTTTAAGCGTTCTGTAGGTTGGCGTTGTCAATGAACCTGATAGAGCAGCTCTGACTCAAGCTTGGAAGTCATGGATGGAAGAACATATAAAAAACACTGGAAACGTCCCACCAGGGAATGAATCAGGGAACACAACTTGGGCTCGACAGCCTCCGAAAAAGAAGCCAGACCTCCGACTTACTCCTGGTCGTCATGTCCAACTGACAGTTCCGCTCGAGGAACTCATTAATAAGTTGGTGAAGGAGAACAAGGTAGTGGCCTTTATTAAGGGGTCAAGAAGTGCCCCGATGTGTGGATTCTCGCAGAGAGTGATTGCCATTCTTGAAAGCCAAGGAGTAGATTATGAGAGTGTTGATGTGCTCGATGAAGAGTATAATTATGGGTTGAGGGATACACTGAAACAGTATAGCAACTGGCCCACATTCCCTCAGGTTTTTGCGAATGGAGAATTGGTTGGTGGGTGTGATATTCTGACCTCCATGTATGAAAAGGGTGAGCTTGCTGGTTTGTTCAAAAACTAGATTCTCCTGTTAGCAGTTGGCCAAAGAGAGTGTAGAGGGAAAACAAATGAGATTGTAAGACTGCATATAGTCATCCAAGTTGTAAACGTTTCATCACCATTTTAACAATGTGGGAACAATCTCTGGATCATGATCTAATGCAAATTCTCTGCAGATTCCATTTCTGACTTCCCTCGCTTTTGCTCTCTGAAAAGTAGCTTATGAATCTCTGGATCATGTCTTCTAGGCCAATGGCAACTGCTCATAAACTATGGGGTTGGCCCATAGACCCGGCTTGTCATTGTGTGGGTTAAAACTTTGGTATAACTAAAGAGAGAAACAGGCCTTTCTCGGCCTTGTAGGTAAGATCAAGTTCAGCCCAAAGGTAATATGTGAAAAGATTTACTAATTGGAAGAAAAAAATTATGTTATATTAATTAATATGAAAAAGGAAAAGAGAAAAATGGAAATTATAGCAATATCAAAGTAGCTAAGTACTTATTAATTAATAAATGATGTTAAAGTATCCACCTCTTTTCTTTTTCGTTAAAAACTAAAAAGTGTTTACATCTAAAACTCAATTATCAAAAGCAAGGGATCCCTTCCCTACCTTCTTTGTATTAATTAATCACTAATGCAATTGTAAGGTACCTATTAATTTTAAAATACTCAAACCCAAACCTAAACCTGATAAAAATTTAATGACTCTTATCCTACTTAATTTTGATTATTAATAATTCACAAAAGACTTGAACTTGACAAATTAAATTATAAATAACATCAGTACTTACTAAATAAACTCGATCAAAACTCAAGTCCGAAATAAAAAATAAACTTAAAATTAATTTTTATGTGTATTATTAATGAGAATTAAATTAAAAAAATTGAAGTTAATTTATCAAAAGTAAATTAAATTTTAAAATCATATTTTAAACAATTAATAAATTTTAGTAAGTATTACATTAAGTAATTTATAAATAAAAATAATATAAAAAATTAAAATTCAATATTAAAAATTATTATGTATAATCAAATTTGGATAATAAATAATAATTTTATTACTTGACATTTCTTGAACACGATTATAAAATATTTTAATTTAATTTAATTAATTAATATAGGATACTCGAATATAAAATATCGTTATGTTGTACTACAACTTTAGCTTAGCTGGGGTCGGGGCCTACCTTATCATTGCCGCCAGCTAAAGACAAAGATCTTACCAGACATTAACAACAAGGGAATCATTATCCATTAGAATAGTAATCAGAAAATTACAATAATCGATTAGGGTTACTAACGTCATTTTCCGAAACTACGTCGTAGTGAAAGTCAAAATATTTAACTACCGGTCGTTATAACATTCGACCTTTATTCCTTTCTTCATCATCGTCGAATAGTTGATGATCTTTTTCTTGCCCTTTTCCATCGAAAAAACAAACAATAACTAATCAAAATACTCGTTAAAAATGGAAATCGGATCTTCTTCAGGTAATTTCAAGCTCTACGATCAACTAGAATTGCTGGAATATCAAGATAAGTTCGTGATCAAAGCCGTCGAATCTCCCGATCAAGGCTTCTCGATTTGCCGTCTTGAAGGAAACATTGAGCCACTACCTGGCAAGTTTTTGATCCTGTTCTTTTTTGTATCTTCGTTTTGCTGAAATTTTAAGCATGGAATGGCTTGTACTTTAAGAATCCTGATCGGCGCCAATTTTGAATTATGGATTTTTTTGTTTGTTTGTTTTTATGATATTACCAATAATGTAAACATTAGCATTTGCAAATTAAGTCTTTGGAGTAAATTTCTTGTAAATGAAATGAATGATTAGTTATTTTCTGAATCAGAATATAGATAATTTAATTTTTTACCATTTATTTTTAGTTTCCATGATTTGGAGAGCTTAATGTACTTTCTAATTTTTGCAGATGAATCTTCTTCTGGAAAGCCGTCCAAAATCTCTACGATTTACGGCGTGGCTGGAACAATTAGATTGCTTGCAGGTACATAATTATCCAAATTAAGTGAAATTTTCAATTGTGTAAAAACATTTTACCTTTATGTGTTAGTATCTATGAAACGAAAGTCAGTTCTCAACTTCTCATGAATTCTTCTTGCACTTATACAGGAATATATGTACTTGTTATAACTTCAAGAAAGGAAGTTGGAAGTTTTCTAGGTTACCCTGTTTACCGAGTTGAATCTATGAAATTCCTGGCTTGCAATGAGGCCTTGAGGTATTCAAATTCTCAAGAAGTAAGGTTCTATTTCCCGTCTTTAAAATGTTTATCTAGACGTCTATTTTGATGGTTAATATTTGAACCTTTTTTTATAAACTAAGTGATTTTTTATTTTGAGCAGAAAAGAGATGAGGCTTACTTCATGACGCTGTTAAAAACAGTGGAAGCAACTCCAGGATTGTACTATTCGTATGAAACAGATATAACATTGAAGTAAATTCTTTTACCTTGCAGTGTGCTTTTGACTTATAGTCACTGATTTTTCCTTGTTATCTAACTTATTTATGTTTTTGAAGTAATAAGTTTATAAGATGCATTTGATCATGTACCAGCTTGCAAAGAAGATGCAAGTTAATGGAAGGGTGGATGAGCAAACCAATATGGAAGCAGGTTAGTTACCATACTTTGATCATCATTGAAAGCTTGTTAAGCTTTTTTTTTTTTTGGAGAAATCTACTTCTGGTGTTTTTACAAATCTTTTGGATGTCAATATTGGTTATTGGTTTGTTAATGTTACAAGTGAGGTTTTGTAGTTTGAAGAGGTGAATATTGTTCATATGCTTACTCTTTGTAGCTGCTAGTTTCTGGAGATGCTTTGTAGTTGAAGTCAAACACTCAAACTACCTTAATTTCATTTTTATGCATTTTTCTCTTTTCTGAACTAGTTCAGGAAGAAGAAAAAGAGGGAGTCATTTTATTTAAAGCATGACTCTTCGCTTGCCCGTTGTTACTTTGTGATTCCAAATGAGTTCCCTTTCTGAAAAATGATTGCTATGCTCATGGGAGAGGCTGCGTATTTGCTGCATGGAATATTACTTTGTATGTAAATATTGTAGTACTATCTATAGCTAGTCAGTACTTGCAAACAATTTCTAACTTCAATTTTCTGTGAATTTCAGGCTGATCCTCGATTTGTTTGGAACAAACATCTTTTGGAGGAACTTATTGAGTATAAGGTTATAAATTTTCCCCATGTATATTATAACACTATAAGCTTCTTATATTGTTAGTATTTCTCTGTTTCCCATACCAAAGTAACTTCTATTTTTGTCCTAAGAAGAAAACACTCTAAAGTGTTAAATGATTTGAACTCTTCAATAGGATCATGAAATCTTATGTTTCTTTCTTTTCTCCACCTTTTTGACACAATTACTTTTGCTATGGCAGCTTGATGGGTTCATTATTCCTCTCCTACAAGGAAATATCCTTATACTACTGTTTCCTTGTGCTTTTGAACTGATCTGCATGTGTGTGGCATGTGCATGTATATGTATGAGCAGATGAGTGTGTGTACTTCTCATGTATATTCATGAGAACTTTCTTGTACATTTTATTTTATATTTTCTTTGAAAATCTATATTTCTTGTTTCCACTTAACTTAGGTTTAAGTTTCCAAGTTGCTCAGCTAAAGTTGAAGAATTCACCTGCCACATTTATATTACTTTCAAGGAAGTGTACACGACGTTTAGGTAATATGTTTTTGAATGAGTCATCCTTTTAATTATTAATGCTGCTAATGTCTGAACTGCTCTAAATATGGTAATACGGTAATGCAGGAACACGTATGTGGCGAAGGGGAGCTAACCTTGAAGGAGACACTGCTAACTTTATTGAAACTGAACAGTTGTTGGAGCTTGAAGGTTTCAGGTGTTCATTATTGCAGGTATGTGTTGTCTCATATGACTTCAGAAAAGCTGATCAGTTACTATTATCCAAGGTTTCATTTTTCGATTATAAAGTGTTTTGGAATCTCTTTCTCTATCCAAACTTCATGGTTTTTTTATTTGTTAAAGAAGGAAGCAGTTAAACAATTTGACTTTTTTGGATGTTCTGTTAACCTTCCTGGTTCATTCTTCTTGTGCTTCCACCAATATTTAGCACCATTTGGTTTATGTTAATAATCAAATACATCCCTATTTCACTTAATATTTTCATTAGGTTTAATTTTTTAACAAATGGAGAAGAAGTAACTTTCTTTCAATTTTTAAAGTTATTTTCTTTTTTTATCTCAGATACGAGGCTCTATTCCACTGCTTTGGGAGCAAATTGTTGATTTAAGCTATAAACCCCAACTTAGAGTTATTAATCACGAGCAGACGGTAGATTTTCTCTTGAAAATGCAGCAATTTTCTTTTTTGAATCATTTTCACTGAATAATGGTGCTTACGATTTAGCATTTGTGCACTTTCAACTCTTCCTCCAGCCAGAAGTTGTGGAGCGCCATTTCCATGATCTTTTTCAAAGATATGGAGAAACTATAGCACTGGATCTATTGAATAAAGTATGTGTTCATTCTCCCTCCTCTTTATTGTCGTAAAATAGCATGTGATATAAAATGGTTTTACATATCTTGTTTGGAAAATTGTTGTTAAGACGTGTTGGATAGAATTGCAAACTAATCCACATTCCACAGAAAAAGTAATCGTTACTTATTTTGCCTGGCTGGTTTCAAATGCTAGGAAGCTGCAATGTTTAATAGTATTTACTGACTTTATACAAGTTTTGACTCTTTTATGCGAAGCTCAAATATTTCATTATATTCCTAGCTAGCAAATATTTCATCTTTCATTTATTTTGATATTGTAGCATGGTGATGAAGGTCAACTAAGTGCTGCATATTCAGCTGAGATGCAAACGCTTCCAAATGTGAGGTGACATTCTGCATTCCTATGTATTACAATATATTAGTTTGTGACTGATTTTCTAATAGTTGGCTTGTTGCTACTTCTAGATAATTGTTAACTGTCTGCTTTGCTATTTGCTTAGCATGATTTTCCATGAATAACCATTGATTCTTTGAGTATCTATTTGCCTATTTTTGACTGTGAAGATTCTTTCACTTGACACACTTTTGATACTGGTTCATAGTTTTTATTATTCCATGATAGTACATAACTTGGAAAAGCCCCCCTTGCCCCTCTTTTTGGGCAACTTCTTTCTCTCTCTCTCTCTCTCTCTCTCTCTCTCCCCTTGATGTCAATAGCATTCTATGGAAAGTGATACACATGTTTCCCAAGTTAAGATCTGACGGGCCTATACAAGAACTTTGATTGGTACCGATTAATCTTTTGCATGCCTTTCTTGCAGATACGTATCATTTGACTTTCATCATGTTTGTGGGAATTCAAATTTTGATAACCTTCACATACTATATGGTCAAATCTCTGAGGAATTTGAAAAGCAAGGGTAAGAAGAACAATTGAAATGTTATATATATAATGTATTGAATGCATGCCATGATACTGGTGCTAGCTATCCAAAATGTTAACCATCACTATTCCAGCTGAGCAGATACTTTCTCGTAGACACAGATGGCAACATCCTGGAGGAGCAGAAAGGCATTATTAGATCTAACTGTATTGACTGCCTTGATCGAACAAATGTTACCCAGGTTTGTGGAAAATCTACTTGCGTTGTTCTTTGTTATCACATATAATGCTTTCAGTATAAAATATCCATGCTGAGCAACTAATGCTGTAATTTCTATAATATTTCAAACGTCTGGACCTTTTAAACTCTGTTTTTCATTGTTTGTTTATTTATTCTGTTGAACAGAGTTACCTTGCTCAGAAGTCTTTAAATATCCAATTGCAAAGGATCGGGGTATTTACTTCTACTGAGTGCATTTCTATGTTTGCAGAGGATTACGGAAAGTTCAGAACACGTATGTACTTTTGCATATAGTTTTGCTAATTTTACATCGTACTATAGGAGGTCATAGTGCGTTTATATTCATCCTGAATGCTTTTGTTAGTGTGGGCTGAGCAAGGTGATGAGATAAGTCTCGAATATACTGGGACTCATGCACTTAAAGGGGACCTTGTTAGGTATGTGGAATTTTAGGTCAATGTTTGCAAAGAATCAGTATCCATTTGTATCTCATTTATGCTTGTTTTTGGATGACAATAATGCTGCAGATACGGCAAACAAACAGTGGCTGGACTTCTCAAAGATGGGATGAGTGCATTATCAAGATACTATTTGAACAATTTTCACGATGGAATTCGGCAGGCAAGCTGCCTCTTCAGTCTGAACTTTTTTGTGCCAATCAATCAAATGAAATAGACCCAACTATACACAATAAATTGTTGAAAATTTTTATATAAACATGTTTGCTCAGGATGCATTGGATCTTGTTAGTGGTCGCTATACCGTCAGCAGAAATAATCCTTCACCATTCCAGCTTAATAGTTTCGAATCTTTCTCTGTATGTGTAATCATTTCCCATTGATATTTAGTTAAACATTTATGTCACTGAATCTTTGTTACTAGATTGCTTCTTGGATGACTCTTTTTACCTAATATGCGTCTTTGATTGAAAATTTGCAGTATCTTCCGGTGGCATCCGCTTTGCTGATAGGAGGTTTGACAGTGACAACTTTCACGATTCAGCAAGGTATCATTTTGTCGAATTTTTAGACAAACATTCAATCTACAATCTGATTTTATCCAACTTAAAATTATCTAAAAATACTCTTAATTTAATTGACCTGAGATTTCTTTTCTCGAATCATGATAGCGAGAACCAGGTACCAACATTGTTGTACTGTTTACTAACAACTGTCGAACCACTTTTCCTTTTAACATCTGCAGCGGGTCGAAATGCACAGCAATATGTCTCTTCTGTCGTGTGGGCTGGAGTGACTGCTGGGGTCATGGCTCTGATGAAAGCTAACGGAAGGCAGTTTTGTTCTAGGCCTCGCTTGTGTGGCCTCTTGTAAACTACTCTCTTCTCCAGATTGTGGTTTCAGCACAAAAAGTGTACAAAATGAAAAATTCTCAGGTAGTTTTGAAGGCTTTTCGCTATGTTAGACATAGTCTTAAACACATATAAATTTTTTATACAGTCTTTACTAGTGAATGCAATTTCATTTTTTATTTGGATTGTATAAGTATGTTTTTATGGATTTATATTATCATTTTCGGGTTTGGTTTCAAAATTAAAATTAAAAATAAAAATGCAGAAAAGGTCTCGAAATTTAGTATGCGTATAGCAACTTAAGATCGTATCATACCATCAAGGATGACTTGGATTACCATCAAAGCTAATCCGAGCAAACTCCTGCCTTGATTTTTTTCATATGAGAGTAATGAGTTGGCATCTACGTCTTACTTGGCTCCTTCATGTTCCTCCACTTTGCAGCTTCAAGAAACGTGGCTTTCTTCTTGTTAAAACAACTGCAAGGCAGCATCAGCCAAACCCACCCACTTACCCATCAAAAACAAAAAACATAATCCTTGGCTTTCCCCGCCATGGCTGTGAAGCAGCAATTTCCGGGAATTCCAATTCCCGCATGTGCAAAACGTGCTGCCTAAAACATACTCGCTTGACGACAAAGCTCACCGCATGCACGTTGTCTCTTCCAAGCACTCATCAAATCTCGCCTGTGCCTCCCCTTTCGCCCTCTCATTTTGTCTGTTGGGTCGGTTGCCTTTTTACACCAAAGACTACAGCTATTCATCCCCCCTTACTCCCCTTCTCTTACAAACTTCAAGACAGTCCCTGCCCCTCTATTTCTGTCTATCTCACGCCAATATGCACACGTCTCCCATGAACTTCTGTTTGAAGCACCTCAAATCTCTCTCTCTCTCTCTCTCTCTCTTTTGAAACCCTGAAGCATTTCCCTGCTCAAGGAAAAGAATACTTTCCCACCAAGCAAGAAAAACTCTGATCAACTTCAGTCCTACAAGCACCTTGCGGAATCCCCCTGCTATAAAAGGCACAGTTTGCTTTACTCTTTTTCACACCCATCACTCTTCTGATCTTCGCTTGTCTGATAATATTTCTTCCCTTTTTGTTGCTTGCTTGCCCTGGTATGACTCCGGGAGGAAGCAGCGCCAGCACGAACCACAATGCTGGCTCCTTCGATGCATTCTTCCAGGTTTGGCTCGAACGCCAAGAGCAATACCTCGACGAGCTACTCTCTGTTCAACAGCGTAGCCATGAAGCCCAGGAAGATGATCTCAAGGACCTCATTACCCGAGTACTCTCCCACCACCAACAGTACTATGAAGAAAAATCTCGCGTAGCCCACCGCAACATTTTCCTTGTTTTCTCTCCAACCTGGCTCTCTTCCTTCGAGCGTGCCTCGCTTTGGATTGCTGGTTTCAAGCCCGGGTTTGCGTTGAAGCTTGTTTCCAACTCCGTGCAAGACCTGTCTCAAGAGCAAAGCGAAAGGATAAAGAGGCTGATGGCGGAGACGAGGGTTGAAGAGAGGATGCTTAATGACGAGTTGGCGAGGGTTCAAGAGAGCATTGCGGCTCCGCCTTTGCTTGAGATAGCCAGGAAACGAGCACGACTGATGAATGCGGAGATTGCAGGGGAGCAAGCAGCACTGGCCTCCTTGAGGAAGGCAGTGGAGGAAGTGGTGTTGGCCGCTGATTTGTTGAGGATGACCACGGCCATGAAGGTGGTGGAGATATTGAACCCGGTGCAGAATGTGAATTTCCTGACAGCCGCGACGCAGCTGTTGGTCAAGCTGAGGAACCGGGGGTTGCAAAAAGATGCTGAGAGAAAGGATTGAACCAGTGAATCCCGGATAGTGTGTCATATAAGTAGGTAAGACCATACAGTACAGATAGCTGATAGTAACATCTTTTGCATTTGTTTAGGGGATTTTTGACTACTCGAAAGTCTTAAACGGCAACGGATCAGGGTTCAGGAAAGTCTTCGCCGGAGCTAAGGTCGTCGATCGTCCAGCCGGTTGATGACCTGATGTCTACTGTCAATGTCCCCTTCGTCGTTGTATGCTTGTTTACGTGCCCAAGTAATTAATTATGGTGCGCTCTTTTTTGTATTTTAATGGAGACTAAGCATTAGTTAAGACAAAAGGAACACAAAAGAATAAAAGTGCTGATTTACGTGAGCATTAAGCAAGTAATGGCAGAAATATTTGCAATATTTCTTTTATTATTACAATTGCGCAAAGGTACGGAACTTATTTAACTTTCTGCGAGAAGTTTATTGACTTTGTTTTAGACCTTATACAGAGTCCAGGAAGGAGGTTTACACTATCATAGGCGACTGCGCTGGCTCAGTGCGGCTGGCTTAAAACTGGCAAAACCAGTAATTTCCCTACCAGTGACCAAGCTGTTGATGTCATAAGTGCCTTCATATGTATAAATGGGCTCCAAATCACAGAATGCCTGCATGGTGACAAAAGAAAGAAAACTCAAGATGTTTGTTGAACAACTTCTTTCTTCAAAAACAAAGGCAGATTGTGTTGCTACTCCATAACTCACTGAAAGCATAGACTATTGGGTTCTCTGGTTTGGATTATGTTACAAATTGCGTTCTGGTCTAAACCAGAGCTAATCCAATATGTTATTATTTAGCAGGAAGAAGTGAGAAAGTGATTTTTGTGTTGAGAGCAGAGAATGGAAAACCTTTGCAACAAGAAAATCAGCCAAGATTCCGTTGCCGCCGAGTAACTCCCGCCCGAGAGAGACTGTTTCTCTTGCCCTCAAGGTAATCCATGACTGAAGATCATAAAAGTCTGATATGGCTAAGAAGTTCAAAAATAAAACCTTGTTATAAAATCACGGGCTTCTATATCTAGAGAATGTTTGTATACCTTTCCCAAGCTGGCTTGACCGGGAGTCATTTTACCCTCCTCATACAATTTGCAAAGGCGCCAACCAACTAGGGTCATTGCTTGAACATTACCTAGCATGAGAGCAAGTTTCTGCTGGTTAATTTGGAAGGCTGCCAATGGTGCTCCGAACTGTTTCCTCTCCTTCAGATACCTAAATCATAGCAAATGCAGAGCAGGTCATCTTGAAAGCTTGAAATGTCATCACTCAAATTGGAGAACAGCACCCATTGCAATACCTCTGACACATGTCATAGACACCCATCGATATGCCAATAGGCTGCCATGCAACCATTACTCGCGAAACAGCCAGTACCTGCTTGTCCATGGTGGCAATTCATAATTGATTAAAATAAATGCACAAGATACAGCAGGATCTACTAAGAGTTGTCACTGTAAAATGAATGGTGAAATTGTATAGTGACTGGATATAAACAACCAATTAGCAAGAGGAAAGATTGAGATGAGAAATCATTATTTGAGGGAGGTAATTAGAACGAACCTTGCTTGTATCCTGAAAAGAGTTTACACCGGGTAACCTGTCCTCATCAGGAACAAAGACTTTCTTTAAAAGAATATCTCCATTTTGAACAATTCTCAGCCCAATCTTGTTTGCAATTTTTGTAGCTGTCAATCCAGGGGAATCCTTCTTAACCAGATATCTGAAACAGAAAGCAGAAACATTCCATGTTTCAAGGAAAACGAGCATGCAATGAAATCTAATCACCTTTTGATTTGCAATCTCATTGCTTCTCTCTTGGGTTACAATTTCCATAAACTTGGACAATTATGGCTCATGCCCATGGTGGTCTTTAGGTTTGCAACCAGTGGTAGTTCCATCTTTGTTTTTCAACCTAGCGATTAGTAAACTCAATACAGACTGAAGGTCCTGAATATATGACTTACCATTTTTGGAAACTTATTTCCTAGGTTTCAACAATTCTACTTCAAGATCATTAGGTCCTATACGGTGGTTTAAAACAAAAATTCTCAACTGAATCATTAGTCTTGGGTTCTCATTCTATGTTTGATAATGCTAATACTTTTTCATTTTTAGTGAACAGACAAGCATGTTTATCTTTTAGGCATTATAGATGGATTCTTTAGCGTGAAAGAACAAATGCTAAATCCTATGCCTTATATGCTATTTCACTTACCCGTTTATCTGATTGGTTGTGGTATTCCTGGCAAAAATAACCAACACATCTGCAAAAGTACCGTTCCCTATCCATCGCTTTTGTCCCTCAAGTATCCAACCTCCCTTGACCTGAATGTTTGAGATAACAGCAAACATGATACAACAGAAAATTTAGAATGTTGAGCACTGTAATCAGCTATACTTGAAGAAGACAAGTGAAGGCAAATATACAAGGTTGAGGGTGGACCTTTGTCGCAGTTGTCTTCAGAGCACTAGCATCACTTCCATAGTCAGGCTCAGTCAAAGCCTAAATATAATATTAAAGTTATTACTATTTTCAAAATTCCTTCGATTATAGCTGAAAAAAGAATACAAGAAGACCTCCGAAGATTCTAATGCTAAAAAGAAAAACCTACCCAACAAGCTATAGTTTTGAGTTGTGCCAAAGAAGGTAAGTACTTCTGCTTCTGTTCCTCTGATCCACATAATGCTATTCTTGATGGTCCAGACAAGGTATTGCAGGTCATAATTCATTGCTTATCTTTTTTTTAAAGAATAATTACCCAAAAGAAAAATGATGCCAGAAATTCATAGGAAAAGAAAATAAAAAGTTGTTTATAGATCTCACCAATAGTAAGCATGGCTAGAGATGAATGCACCAAGATAAAAGTTGAGCAGCTTGCATCAACTCTAGCGACCTCTGAAGTAGATATAGCACTTCCAGTGATGGAAAGACCAGGGCATCCATAACCCTGCAAGTCAGACGTAAACCAAAACATCATACCAACTTGATTTTCACATCAAGAAAGAAAGAAATAAGTTAAAAACCGAAAAACTATGTAGGAAGTACCTTGATAGTACCACCAGCAATACGAAGAGCAGCAAGTTTTGGAACAATTTGGAATGGAAACTCTGCCTTCTCCCAATACTGAGAGAAAAATCACAAATCAGTGACTTTCTTCGTGAATATATATAGGTAAAAGAAAAAAAAGCTATTAAACCCCAAAAATCACAGCATTTAGCGGTCATCTACATAAAACCAAGTCATCAATCCATGCTGTGAGAAAGGTTCATGAACAACTTTAAGAAAGAGTACCTCTGTCATCACAGGAGCTACTTCTTTTTCCATACACTCTCTTACTTTCTTACGGATAGCCTGCTCCTCAGGACTCAATAGATCATCAAATTGATAATAGTCGGAAGCTGTAAATTTGAGCAAAATGCGCATATATATAAGCAAAAATTATCAAGATTTCCCATTCAATAACGAAAAGAACCATTATCAAAACCGATCAAATCATACACTAATCCAGAAAAACTATCAACAAGTTCCAGATGCATAAATGGAAGCTATACAAATATCACACAGAGCTAAAAACAGAGAACAATGATCGAAATTCTTACCAGGAGGAGGAAAAGTAGATGCGGGAGTTGCTTGAGGGAATGCAACCGAAACATCCAAGGGTGGTAAGTTGAAATACGAACTCTTGGCACTTTTGTCAGTTTCATCTGTCAGACATCAAACCCAACAAACCAAACAACACAGGAATCATAAAAGCACGATCACTTAGCAGATGCCATAGGTAAAAGAAACAGCTAATACATATTACATATTGACCCAGAAATAATACGTAAAGCTCCAAACTTTTTAGAGAAAGAAAAAAACCCAGAATTTGCTTAAAAACCTACTAACAGCTTGATTGAGTCAAATTGGCAACACGAATTCAGTGTTCCATATAATTTAAGAGCAAAACTAAGATCTAACGGCGAGAAAGGACTAACCTTGAAACTTAGAGTGAAGGGTCATGGTGATGGAAAGGAGAGGTTTTTTCCTTTGGTTTTTGGATAAAATAGAAAGTGACAGATCGGTGGCTGAAGGAAGATAGAGTTGGCACGCAAGTTTAGGCTGTTTTGCTTCTTCTTTTAGACAAAACAAGCAAACAAGGCAGGCACTGACAGAGCCGAACGGTGGGCGTCAAACCTTATTAATCAAAGTTTAGGCTCCTAAATTCCTTTATTAAATACAATACGTAAAGAGCTAAACTTCGACATTAATTTCATCTAATAAAATTATTAAATATTTAATTTTAAAAATTAGTTCACATTCAAAGAATACTTTTATAAATTTATTAAAAAATTAAAAAAATAAAATTTATACATGATGAATTAATTAAAAAATACAAAATATTATGCAAAAAAATTGCTCCTGAAAGATAAAGTATTAAAAAAATTACCTTAATTTCATTCAGTAAAATTATCATCATATTTTAATTTACAATTTAGATGGATTTTAAAGATATTTTAATTAAAGATATAATTTTTTTAAAAAAATAAAATTTGTTCATGGAGATTAATTGCAAAAAAAAAGAGGATAAATTGTTTGGTGAAAAAATTAAAATATAGACGGGTTTACATTAATATGGATGGACTTGTAATAATTGAATATAGTATTAAATCAAATCAAATATCGAAAGTGTTGCATGTTTTTATTTCTTAATGGACCAGAACAATTAAAAAAATATTAGGTATAATTTTCATTTGATTCTTAACGGAATAGAAAAATAAAATGCCTAACATGTTAAATTGTTGTGTTTAATATATATGTATAATTGGGGTTAAGAGTACGGGATATTTTATAATATTTGAAAATTAATATAATTAAGTTTGAGTAATAAATATTTTAAAGATAATATCATAAATCTATATAAATTTAAAACAAATATCAAAACTTCACTCGAATTTATTTTATAATTAAATATAAAATATTTAAATTCTATATTATTGAATCAAATATTTATAGATATCCGTAAAGAGTCAACTCGGTCGTTTACATCCTTAATTGTTTAATAACAATCATATTATTTTAACATATGATATTTATCTCCAATTAGCCAGAGGAATGGCCAATTAGTGACAGACAACAACATATACAACAATCTGCCAAGTGATTAAAGTGAAATATTCTGTCTGGTTTCAATTTCAGGGTCGCCATTGTAACTTGTAAGAATAAGAATTAAGAGGGTTCTAATCCGGAGGCTTCATGGCTGGAAACAGGAGAACTTCCTGCCAAAAAAAGAAAAAACATAAAGACTTGTTGCATTGAGTTCCAAGTCCAACCATGTATTTCTTGTTCCCTTTTGAAGGCCACTGACCTTAGCATTTGGTGAATCAGTAAGCAACATTGCCAGCCGATCAATACCCATTCCCAGTCCAGCAGTTGGGGGCAGTCCATACTCCAAAGCAGTGCAGAATGATTCATCCAAAACCATTGCTTCATCATCACCCGATTGTCTATCCTGAAAGAAGTAAAAGTTATGTTAGGTATTTCTAATCCTCAGCTTGTTGCTGCAACCTATGGTTGCATCAGAACTGCAAAAATAGAGAGATGGGTACCTTCAGCTGCTCAGCAAATCTCTGGCGCTGTACTTCAGGATCATTCAGTTCGGTATATGCATCGCATAGCTGCAAACAAGAACAGGATTGATTGGTAGAAATACTAGTCAATAGAATGAACTAAGCAGAAAAAAAAAATCTATGTACCACTTGGAATGTACCTCTCGCTTGTTGACAAATAATTCAAAGCGCTCGGTTAAGCCTGGTTTTGATCTGTGCCACTTTGCTAGTGGACTCATGGTCTCAGGATGGTTGATAATGAAAGTAGGATTTATGCAAGTTTCTTCAAGAAAATGGCCTACAAGCTGCTATTAAAAGACATTCAGTACATTGCGTTCATCGAATTCAGGTAAGGGTCCATCTCAAGTTATCGAAATTGATCACAGGAAATATGAAGAAAGAATAAAGGTATCCAGATATCAACATTTCCTATGCATTGCAATGTCCACAGTCAGATATGGAGCATCAACATGCATCATATGGATGTGACATTGTTAACGTGAATCCAGTTTGCATTGCATTATAGAGATAGATTGTGATTGTTGTTCAACTAGGGAACGAAATGACCTTGTCTAACAACCGGGTTGTGGTGTGCGGAGGAGGGCATTTGACATCAAATCTTTCACAAGCTTCCAATAAATACCTATTGGCAGTTTCACTGGAAAGATCCTTGGGTATGCTGAGGTTTGCTCTAGACTCCAACTCCAACTCCTCTATCAGATCCATCCTTCTACAGAAGTTAGGGAAACAATAACCATTAGACCCTTCAAAGCTCAAAGCAGTATCTGACAGAATAGTTATACTGATAACCTAGCTGATGTTACATACTAGAACTTGTACCTAAAAGGTGGAGTAAAATCGATTTCTATAGGTTCACTGTCGAAGCCATTACCTTGCTACTTTATTTTATAGCAGCCTGTCAGCTCCTTCACCATACCTGCAAGTTTTAAAATGTTGCAAAATCATTCACTGTCTGGCATGCCTAATAGATATGTTATGCACAAAATCGAACAGAAAAGTTACAGTTACATCAGTGCTCAAAGTGAATCAAGATGGCTATAGTAAATACCCCGTCAAGTTAAATAAGAGTGCTAGTGTGTTAATTTGAAATAAAACAAGTTGGATTAAATGCTTTTGGAAGCTTACCTGATAACAACTTCTCTGTTAGGTCCATCAAGTCATTATAATCTGCATAGGCCATGTAAAATTCACACAATGTGAATTCTGGCAGATGAGTTAGATCCATTCCCTCGTTCCTAAATACTTTCCCAATCTCATAAACACGATCAAGCCCACCGATAACCAGTTTCTTGAGGTACAGTTCTAGGGAAATACGCATATAGAGCTTCATATCCAACTCATTGTGATGTGTAATGAATGGCCTGGCTGCAGCTCCTCCAGCAGTCATAGTCATCACAGGAGTTTTTACCTAAGAGGGATGGATAGAATATTTATAGCAAACTAAACACCAGGGAAAGTTCAAAAGATGTTGCCCGATATTTGATCACCATGCCGGACTAGCTTCTTACCTCTACGAATCCAAGATTATCAAGGAAGTTTCTGTAGTAAGATATGATTTTGGCCCTGGTCCTGGATACTTGCTGAACTTCTGGGTTCAACATCAGGTCTAGATAACGTTGACGGTATCGAGTTTCCTAACATTAAAGAAGTTATTATCAACTGCACAAATGAAAGACACCTGACTTGACAAATTCTTAGCAGAAGTATCTGGCGTTGGTAATTGAAAGATTAGCAAGCAAACTAACCCTTCATATCGTATAACTTGGTAGTAGCAATAAACATACTAGGGCAGTAGAAAGTAGAAGCTAATTCTGGGGCACACACGACAAGGAAAGATAAATGATAAAGCAGAATTACATACCTGATCTCGGAGAGTGTAAGTTTCTGGATTTCTTGTCATTCCAGGGGTCCATGAATGATCAGTTGTTTTCTTCTAGAGACATGAGTATCAAGTTAGCATTAGTAAAACAATTATAAAGAACATAAAATTCGTTTGTGATCTTTTACCTTAGACTGTGCTTCGTCACTATTGGAGGTGACTGTATGCCTTGGTAACATGTGAAGGCATGGGGTGAGTACCACGAATGACTTAGGTAAAATACTTAATTCCCCTCTTTGACTCTTCCCTGCAACATGCTCAGGTGCAAAGAGCTTTCAACTGACAATTGTGGTCCAGAATACAAAACAGCATACTGTTCCAAATGCTAATGGTAGGTTCCAATGAAAAAATTTGATAGACAAAAGAGCAATCCTACTAAATATAGATATATACTAACCAGGGAAACCACTGATCCCTACAATGTCACCTCTCTTCACCCCTGAGTGGTAGTTAGAGAACTCGTTTTCATCCATGTTGGAATGCCTAGCAGAATCAAGTTCAAGACAAAGTTCAATTCTCCCATAGCAAATGATGTTTGTTGAAACAGGAAGTTTCTAAGCAGCTTGATTTCAATATCAGTAACAACACCTTTGAAGCTTAATAACACGTATCTAAGAGGATCACTGACGGAATTCAAGACAGGAAAAAAGAAGATATACCTTGCATCTGCCATCACTTGAATTTTAGCACCATTTTCGTGAAGATCATAGAAGTGTAGTTTTGAAGAGGATGATCTCTTGTTCATTATTCTCCCTTAAAAGATTGTAGTCATGATCAGAGTACTCACCGAAGAGACAAACATAGAAATAAACCAACTCATACGCTGAGTACCCGCTAAGGAGATTTCAGTGCTCTCAACATGTTCACCGATACTCAAGCTTCCAAATTTGGCAATAAATTCCGTGATAGACATTGAAACCACAAACTTATGAGGGTATGGATCGAAACCGGATTCCTTCAGCAATGCCAAGCTTTTTATTCTGTTCCTCAGATATTGCTGCCACCAAATTTTATTTTGAGCATCTATAGGGAAGCTGAGAATTCTAGACAAAAGTAGTGAACTTGGTGAAACCTACTGTAGGATCAATGGTATCATCATCTGCAGCCTGTTGCCTTTGATTCTGTGATGTCCTGATTGTGCTAACCTGCAAGAGCATGGACTAACCAATTAGTATTCTGATCTCTTTATTACCATATTTGATTTCTAGTGGTCACCATGCACATATTATGCCTTATGCCAAACGACTTTCCCAAAAGGAAATGGAACAATAATAATATAAAGCAAAAGGGTTACTTTGCATGATCATCTTGGTTTCTCTGATCTGGAATACCTGGATGATAAGTAATTTAAATGATCAGACTAACCAATACTCATTGGATAGAGGGACAAAAAGGAAAAAAAGAAACAAAGCTGATGCAATTATCACCTTCTTTTTCTCCTCTTCTCTGACCTGCCTCTCTTGCTCTCCTTTCTCTCTTAAGAGCACTAAACAGAAAGCAGAAAGGGAAAAAAAAGTAGTATTAGTCACCGGAAGGTCATTGAAGAAGGCAAACAACTCGGAAATTTACACTGGAAGTAAAGCACATGAAGAGCAATACTTCTTGCTGAGAGTTGCAGATGAAGCTGGTTCGGGTTCTGAAACACATGAATCCATTGATAACTGCTTTGTAGTTCTTTCTGTGCTGTTCCTGATGAGAGAAACACTATGCATAATTCTATCTTGCTCTACGCTTGTAAGTTGAAAACATTCTTCTAATCCTCCATTTGAGTCAACTAAATCAAAAGGTTTTCCTTTTCAGACATTTTTTCTCCCCTCCTTTTCACCATAAACAATTTAATTATAGAGAAAGGATGACTGCCTCCCCTTTCTTTCCTGGTCTTTTCCAATAGTCAAATCAAAATGAATTGTTAAATGATATATGCGGTCTTCCCACTTGATAATCTTCAATTCTTTAATTATCAGTCTATCACAGCTTTCCCCTTTCTTTCCTGCCTCCCCTTAGGCTCAAGGTAAGAAAACTTGAGAACTCAAAATCATTTTAGAAGTCCCACTTGTTCTTTCCTGTCCATGCTTGAGGCACAAGAAAAAGTTGAAACACCCAAAAAAGTGGAGATGCGGGGTATCGATCCCCGTACCTCTCGCATGCTAAGCGAGCGCTCTACCATCTGAGCTACATCCCCTGTTGCAAGCCACATGGGAGCTGAACTTCAGAATTTCACCAATTCAGAACATTCTAACTATCAGTCTTCACAGCTGCCTTTTTCCCTCTTTTACGTAAACACTAGGAGCAGAACATTCTCCACCAACCATTGGGATTAAGCAAACCAAGTAAGAAACTTCAATGACAACATAGATAGAACAGCCAATGACTCAATGAGATAGCAAATAATCATCTTTAAAATTCTCTGGGTTTTGCCAGAAATTCTGTTGAATAATACTCAACCATGAATCTAACATCATATACCAAGTAAGACTAAAAGCTGCGAAAGTTCTCAATTTTAAGTCCAAGTCCTCCTTTTGTGCAGAATTGTAATGCAGTTGTCTTTGTTAGCCCAAGTACTCTGTTTTAAAGCTGCTTGATCTGCTGTTTTGTTCGATTTCTCTCTTGCTATTATCCATTGCCAAGCAAAAGTTGGTAAAGCAGCTGCAGAAATTTTCTCCATTAAAGCACAAGCTATCATTTTTATGGTGAAAAGTTGGTACAGCAGCTGCAGAAATTTTCTCCATCAAAGCACAAGCTATCATTTTTATGGTGAATGTGTTAGCTCAAGTTTTCCTTCATCTTCATTACTGCAATGAACAGAGGCAGAGAAGATTAGAAGAATGAATGAGCAAGGAAAAATATTTCAATGGAGATGCGGGGTATCGATCCCCGTACCTCTCGCATGCTAAGCGAGCGCTCTACCATCTGAGCTACATCCCCCTTTAGAAACCTGCAAACTTATATTATAAATATAATATATTTGAAAAAAGTTTAGCCCGAGACAAACAGTCAACGTCTAAAACTAGAAAGCCGCCAAAAGGGTGCCATATCTCCTGCAAATGAGTTGATTCGGAAATTCCTGCAATCCAGTGCTTCTGCAAATCACATCTTGACAGCTGTCAGAGAAGTATCGAGTACAAGTTTAAAGTGCAGATTTTGCCATTTTGGAGAGCTAATGAGAAGGCTGAATGCAGAAGATTAGCACCCAGGACATGTCGACAATGGCAGCATAGCTATTCGAATTTCATGTTATGATTTTATCTGGGATGAAACAAGTTAATATTCCATATTGACCCAAGCATGACAAAGTCTCAGCTTTTACATCTTTCATCGGGTTAATCACTGCGACTAAGCAAAGAAAAAGTCTTTAACACCCAAAGCAAGCATCAATCCGAAAGGAAAATTTTTCTTCAGATTCCATTTCACCTCAATCTGGATTCACCATGTTTGCCAAACGCTTGCTTCAGAAAGCGGTCCACCATTCTGAGGTACAAAACGAAATTCCCATATTGCTTTTAGATCCTTCAGATTCTTTCTCTGTTTAATGCGTAAACATCTGATGGAGCTTCTTGGGTCGGTTTCTGTTTTTTTTTTTAAAAAAAAATGGTTTCAGCAAAATGTGCAGCATGAGAATTTGAAATCAGAAGACTTGGATTTGCGAGTTGCTATCCACTATGGGATCCCATCTACTGCGTCACTCCTTGCTTTTGATCCTATTCAGCGGCTCTTGGCTATCGGGACTTTGTGAGTAAAGTTTTAAGCTTTCTGCTGGGATTAGATAGTCATATCAATGCTTCGAATATCATCACTTTTTTGAATATTTTAGTATTATTTGCTGTTGGGAGGTTGTTGGATGTAACAATGTTTTGAATTGTGATTGTTATTTGTTTGAATTCATCAAACCAAAATGCCCTTAGTATCCTGAAGAATTGCTTCATCTACAAATGTTTTAATTACTCGCTTTCTTTGTATATGTGTTGTGATTCCCATTTATTTTATAGGGATGGCCGGATTAAAGTTATTGGTGGTGATGGAATTGAGGCACTTTTCATATCTCCGAAGCAATTGCCTTACAAGTATTTGGAGGTTTGCATATGTACCGCACAAAATGCTTTTAAGGCTTGCTGGCTATATCAGTATTTCTTTAATCCTTAGAAAATTCCAAGATAAAAAAAAATGTGAATTCCTTCTAAGAACTTCAAGATGAAATGTTTTTCTGTTGAGAGAAATTTGATTGTCCATCTATGAAAGCCGTTTTAGACATCATGTTCGGGACTTCTGAAAAACAATGAGATATTGAAGATTGTGACTTGATTAACTCCTTAATCTATTTAAAACCTCAGGTACATTTTCTTATACATTTAGCTATGAACTAAAATTTATTATTTTTATGGCAGTTCATACAAAACCAGGGTTTCTTAATCAGCATCTCCAATGACAATGATATTCAGGTATTGATTCTTTATCAACTTTGCGGTGGTTAGGCCTTATGGTATCATATATCTGTATGTTCTACAACTTCCCAATTTTTACAGGTTTGGAATCTGGAGAGCAGGTGTCTGGCATGTTGTTTACAGTGGGAATTCAACATTACTGCCTTCTCTTTCATCAGTGGTTCACACTTCATGTATAATTTGTTTACAAAATAATGATTTAATATATTTCTATATCAGCTGCAAGTGTGGTAGCTATAGAAGTGTGTATTTGGTGAAAGCTGCATCACGTTGTTGCTCTATCTTTTCACACAGGTACATTGGAGATGAGTATGGTTTGATGTCAGTGATTAAGTATGATGCTGAAGATGGAAATCTTTTGCAGTTGCCCTATTATATATCAGCAAATTCTTTAAGTGGTACTTTCTTCTTTCCTTACTAGTGGTCAATAAATAATTTGAACCGTGCTTAGGATAATTAAATAACTTTTCATGTTCCTCCTTTGGCAGTTTGGCCTATATGACTTGGATTTCTTAAATATTATTTCTTATGTATCGATCTTTGGTTCACAGTTATATTGAAGTCTTCTAGATATATTATTTTAAGCTTTTTGGTTCTCTATCCTCTTAATAGACTGTTTGGTTCTGGCTCACAGAAGCAGCTGGGTTTTCATTTCCTGATGACCAACCTGTTGTTGGGATTCTTCCTCAACCCCATTCTTCTGGGAATAGGTAGGGTGCAATTGCCTACTTTAGGTCAACTTTTGGAATTGATAAGGACTGAGGCTCAACTTAATATTAAGTCAATTTTGACCATTTGATTTTATCTTTCATTTTGGCATCCAATCCATAAGGCTTGAATTTGAACCTTCACTTTTAGTTTTATGTGTATTGCAAATGTGAAAAAAGCTTAGGACAATTTGATGCATTACCACAAAATAACATATTTTAGTCCAAGGTGTACATTTGGATCTAGTCCTTGATTCCATCAGCATCTAAGTATGGCTGCAGCATTACTGGCATGGAACTGCTATTTTAGGTTAGAACCTAATTCCCCTAGACTGTAAGGAAAAAGCAAACAATCAATATTATTTGAGTGTCTTCTTATCACTTTAATATTTTCAACTATATTCTTTTGCAGAGTCATAATTGCATATGCAAATGGTTTGATAATTCTTTGGGATGTTTCTGAAGCTCAAATTCTTTTTATTGGAGGTGGAAAGGATCTTCAGTTAAAGGATGCGGTGGAGTCTGATGTTCAAGATGATACATTTGAGCATCATCTACAAGAAAAGGAGATAAGTGCTATTTGTTGGGCATCTTCTGATGGAACCATTCTTGCAGTGGGATACATAGATGGGGATATCTTGTTCTGGAATACATCAACTATTGCCTCTTCTAAAGGTGAACGAAATGGACAAAACAAAAATGTTGTTAAGCTGCAATTGTCATCTGCTGAGAGGAGACTTCCTGTGATTGTCTTACAATGGTCCTCAAACAATGGATCCCGCAATGATTGTAATGGCCAACTTTTTATCTATGGTGGTGATGAAATAGGATCTGAAGAAGTTCTAACGGTGCGTTAGGCATTTGACTGCACTTCGACACTTTATATTCTAAAATTTATGTAATTGTAAAATGTCTGCTGGATCTAATATAATGAAGTTAAATAATTTGAATGTGTAGACATATGTTCTTAAAGGGTGTAAAGTTCTCACTAGCTTTTTGGTAGATTCTAAAAGAATAGTCATCCATTATGAAGTAATTTATTCATTTAAGAGGCTATAACTTCTAGTAAATATACTTAATTTAGGAATTCCTATTTTTAACATGATAATAATAGTCTATTTTAAGGTTTTATGGCAAGTTAGTTTTTATCTTGCTATTGGGTGGTGCAAAATGTAACTTTGATGAGTGTTGTTCTGTATTAAGTTAGTTATAGTACTTTGTTGCAAAATGATAACTGTATCTATTTCTAGTCTCTATTTGGAAGCTGTCTACCATAAAAAATAAAATAAAATAAAAGAAGAAGAAGCTGAATTTAAAGCTTCATGTGGCTGTACAGGTTTTGAGTCTTGAATGGTCATCTGGGATGGAGACTGTTAGATGTGTTGGTCGTGTGGACCTTACCCTCACTGGCTCTTTTGCTGACATGATTTTGTTGCCAACTGCTGGGGCAACAGTGGGCAATCACAAAGCTGATCTTTTTGTGTTGACAAACCCTGGACAACTGCATCTTTATGATGGTACGATCTTGTCTACCTTGTTATCTCAGCATAAGAGGAAGCAATTTTCCTGTCCAGCAGAATTTCCCATGGTAATACCTACAGCTGACCCATCAATGACTGTGGCAAAGTTCAGCGTGCTACCCAAAGGTGGAAACTCATCAAAAGGTCTGTCAGAGGTATTGCACTTCTATCATAAATATGTTCATTATTTGAAGTCATTGAGTTCTATAAAGTTTTTCTTGTCTTATGTTTTCCTTCTGTTCCATCAGCTTGCATCAATGATGAAACCAGGCTCAACACCAACCCCAGCTGCTGGCATAAAGTGGCCCTTGACAGGGGGTGTACCCACACAACTATCTGTTGCCAAAGATAACAGTATCAAACAAGTGTACATAGCAGGTTACCAGGATGGATCTGTTCGGATATGGGATGCGTCATACCCTGTCCTGACACTTATCTCTGTTTTAGGAGAAGTGAGTTCGAGCAATGTTTTGTCCTTTTAATGCAATTTTGTTTGCACCAAATAATTCTTATGACTGGCAGGTGCAAGGTACAAATGTGGCTGGTTTAAGTGCTCCAGTGACCACCCTGAACTTCTGTTGGCTCACTTTAAGTTTGGCTGTTGGAAATGAATGTGGCGTGGTCAGAACTTTTTCTTTACATTTTCTCTTCCTCTTTGATGTGTCAAAAGCTGGCATAAAGCTGGTGCTTTATATATGTTTTTAACAGTCTGCCTTGTATAGGTTCGCATTTATAACCTCAATGGCAGCTCAGGTAAAACAAGCTTTCACTATGTCACTGAGACAAAATGTGAAGGTAAGCTTTCATCTTATGATACTTTTATTAGAGCCTTTATTTTCTCAAATTAATATCATCCAACTTGCCTTCCAGTTCAGAGTTTGCCTCAAGGACAAGGACCTAAGTGTATAGCTGTATTTTCCCTTCTTAATTCACCAGTTCGAGCCATGCAGTTTGTTAATTGTGGAGCCAAGCTTGCTGTTGGATTTGAATTTAGTCATGTAAGTTTCATGTGTCTTCTCTTTGTTTGATGTATCCTCTTCATTTTTCTGAGAAGCTAGGTCATAGGGGATTTGCTGGTTATTCCAGCTTTCTATTTGAGAAGGATTCATATTTCTTTATGCTTCCACAACAGGTCGCTGTACTTGATGTGAGTTCATCATCAGTTTTGTTTGTTACTGACTGTGTATCTAGTCCGTCATCTCCAATCATTTCAGTGTCTTGGTTAGAGTTTAAAAATGCTCATAGCCTTGTAAAAAGCTCGAAGCATTCAGAAACAGAAGCTGCAGTCAAATCTGGAGAGGAAATAATATTTATCTTAACCAAGGATGCAAAAATTATCTCTGTTGATGGTGGTAATGGTGCGATGATACGCCCTCATCCATGGCACTTGAAAAAAGAAGAAACTGCACTTTCCATGTACATTATAGGCAAGTACCATCATAAAGCTGGATGCTTATAGTTTACACCTTTTTTCGTACTTAGTAGTTATGGATAATAGAATTCTGATAATATTTTCAACTCCAGGGAGCAATTTTTCTGTATCTGAATTAAACTGTGAAAAGCAGCTGGAGGAATCCAGCAAGGATACCACTGACAAGGGTGAGCCTAGGCTTAACGCTTCTTCAACTGGGACTGAACATCTCCCCTCTTCAGAAACTGCATCCTCTCAGGAACACTCATTTGATGCACATCTTTTGCTTTGTTGTGAAAAATCATTGTGCTTGTACTCCATGAAGTCTGTGATTCAGGTGCCTTTATTGCCTTCTCTATGTTTTACTTCAAAATGTTATTTTGTGTCCGTTTGTATGCTAAGGGGATATTGTTTCTATAGGGGAAGGCTAAAACCATTCTTAAAGTAAAACATGCAAAACCTTGCTGTTGGACAACCACTTTTAAGAAAGATGAAAGAATTTGTGGACTGGTCTTGCTGTTTCAAACAGGGGATATGGAGATCAGGTAAAACGTTGATAGTGTATCTTTTTCTTTTTTGGCCCTTAACTAGGGTGTTGATTCCGTTATTGTGTCATTTAATTCCCATGTTTTAAATAGAGATTTGTTCCTTCCTCTGATGATCACTATTAGTATTAATGTTTATCAAATGACTGATCATTTTAGTACCTATCTCCATGCAGATCCTTGCCAGCCTTGGAATTGGTTAAAGAAAGCTCCATAATGTCAATTCTAAGGTGGAACTACAAGGCAAACATGGATAAGATGATGACTTCTGATAATGCGCAAGTTACACTGGTACATTCTCTTGGAATTTTTATCGTCAGAAAGCCATTTCAATGTTTACCAGAGTGTGTGATGACATATAAAAAATATATTTAAGAACATTCATTAACTTATGCTACGCAAATCCAAAATTACCTCTACTAGTTATAAGCCTTTTTTGGGTTAATATATTTGTATTCTTAATAATTGATCTGGTGATATATGCGTGACGTTGTTTTATAATAGGCAAGTGGATGTGAAGTGGCATTCATCTCTCTCTTGGATGGTGAAAATGATTTCAGGTACCCCCATCACTTGTTTAACCAATGCATGTTGAAAGTTTAAAATTGAGCATAAAGATCATTAATGATGAAAAAGAATCTGAGAACTTGCTCTGCTGATCTAGGATTCCAGAATCTCTGCCCTGTCTACATGATAAAGTTCTTGCAGCGGCTGCTGATGCTGCCTTTAGTTTTTCTTCAAATCAGAACAAAAAACAGGTCCATGGAAATATGTCTTTCTTGGTTTTAATATCTGAAGAAACAAATTTGCTTATACAGTTTATAAAATTGCTGCAGGGTACAGCACCAGGGATTCTTAGGGGTATAGTCAAAGGCTTCAAAGGAGGAAAAGTGAATACTTCTCCAACACCAGAATCTGATTTTTCTCATTTGGAGAGAAAGTTTTTAATGTCCCCGTTCTTGGACTCAACCCAGAATGCTATAAATACGCAGGAAGATGTGGAGCTTGATATAGGTTCTGTCTACACCTATGATCCACATTTTTTCTTCTTTCTTGGTTTTTCTCTGACAGCATGCTTTTTCTTTTGGTACAGATGACATTGATATAGATGAAATGCCACCTGTAACTAGCTCCTCATCTCATGAAGTTGTTAATACAAAAGGAGGTAAATCTAACTTTCTAACTCACTTTTCATAATTTCTAAACTTCTCATAATTAATTGTCAGAATATTCTCTCGACTTGCAGAGAAGGAAACAGACAGAGAAAAACTGTTAGGTGCACCAGATGATCCAACGCCCAGACTTAGAACACCTCAAGAAATTATTGCTAAATATAGAAAAACTGGGGTAACAGCTTGACACCTTTTGGTTTTATCAATTCATCTTTCTCACAGTAGCAGCATCCTGAGAAGAGTCCATTATCTGAAATTGCAGGATGCCTCTTCAGCAGCCGCACATGCAAGAAATAAACTTGTGGAAAGGCAGGAAAAGCTGGAGGTAAAATTGGTTTCCTATAGAATGCATTCGGCATTTGTGTGGATAAAATCTCATTAGACTTGAAAACCAAACTGCTTACTCTTTAATTGTTCTTACTTAATGAGACCAAAGGAACAGAGCTGTGGAGAAATATTTCCCTGGAGAACTAATTTATGCTATAAGATGAACATTTTAGTGCTATGAATTTAATAAAATATTGATGTAGCATATTCCAATGCTTACCTCTAAATTAGCTTCTTTCTGGTTACTTGTGATTGTACCAGAGAATCAGCAGGCGTACTGAAGAGCTGCAAAGTGGGGCTGAAAACTTTGCATCATTGGCAGATGAGCTTGTCAAGGCAATGGAAAATCGAAAGTGGTGGCAGATATAATGGGATATGAATGGGGATTAATTATCTTGAGATTAGTTCTATCATGTTCAATGTTACTTGATCACTTTTGGGAACAGGAGACCTGAACCAAGAGGATCTTTGATGGCCATTATCATTGCACACTAGCAACTTTCTGCAAAGCATATGATCTGCTTAGTGGAAAATTGAGGGTTGCGGCTTCGACAGACAACAGCATTCAAGAGTTCACTGTTTCTGATGTAAAGTAAATATATGTTGCAGCTGCTTAAATACGATTCATGCTGGTCCACAATCATAAATTTCCTTTTATGCAATGCATATTGAAGAGTGAATGTAAAAAAGGATTGATGTTGATGAAGTATAGAGGTGTAAAATCTTTATTTTTGAACAATCTACTATCCATATCAGTGATGCAGAATTTCCCGGCAGGTTACTACTGGTATCAGAACGTTCCATTAATAACAAAGAATGGTAAGCAGGAACTGTACCTGTATGAACTTTGGGACCATACCCTTTTTCAAAGATTGAACCACAAAACAGAATCAGAAAAGCTAGTGAACAAGAAAGCGACAATTGCGTGTTTTAAAATGAATTAAATTCATTTAACTCACGTATAAGACATTTAATTAATCACGTCAAATTCTTAAAGTCTAAAAAAAAATCAACAACCAATTAGCAAGTCGCATTGGATGTAGTATAAAATTTCAAAGAACATAAAAACCATGTGCAGCTATGGCTATTGACTCGAACTTTCACTAAACTAACAAAACGTAGAAGTTTGGAACTTAAGGGTGCCCATTGTTGGCTTTGACCAAACATTATCTTGAGAAAGAAATGCAATTCCTCTTTCCTCTGAATGGCATGAAATAAAATAATTAATTACACCCAGGGAGAAAGTGCTTCAGATTCACATCAAAGAATAGAATTTTGTTGGTAAAACCACGTGATCCATGTCGTTTGTTCTTCATGTCGTATGAAAATCTAAGACCGTTCACCCATAGATTTAGATTTCCCACGAAGAATGAAGATACCCCAACAGGGGAAGCGAATGGACATCGTGGTCATCCAACTTAAAACATACTCGTTTAACAAAGCGTGCACGATATAAGCATGCTGGTGCTTGTTCTTTCAATCTTCGTGGCTGTGGTCCATATGGGCTTCAGTAGAATACCGACCTGTCGAAGCTCATGGGAAAAATAATGGTTAATATTTTTGTATTTAATATTATCCCACCACCAAGGAAATTCCGTCCATGACCATGGAAGACATGAATGCATGAACAGGTCCAAGTACAATGGCTCTGTCATACGTATTGGAAAGGGATTTCGCACGAAGCCCACCACATGGGAAAAGTGCAACACGCTCCAATGAGGTGGACTGCACCGGCCGAACCATGACCCAAAGTCCACAAATCTCAAAAAAAAAAAAAAATTGGTGACAGGCTGACTCTCGCTCGTTCCTGCACCCCCTTCCTCCCTTCCTTTTTAACGGGGCAGAAAGTCCCGGTCTTTCCCTAACTCTCTCTCTTCTCAAGGAACAGAAACACTCACAAATATTGTGACCTGTTATTGCTGAGGAGAGAGAACATCAAAGAATCGTGAGGTTGTTGTTCGAACAAGATTGATAGCATCAAGAACTGTTTTTTTTTTCTCTCGCCTTAAAGTTGGCAACTTATTCAGTAGTATTCGGTTTCTGTTGCATATTCTTTTTTTGTTTTCCTTTCCTCTCTGAAGCCTAGAGCTGCCCCTGGTTGAGCCTTTACTGTGGGGTTCTTAATGGCGAGTTTTGTGATATCAGAATGTGGTTTGAGGCCTCTTCCTCTTATCTACGCTAGACCCAGAGCTGGAGTCGTCTCGAGGAACTCTTCAAAACCCAGATTTTTACATACAAGCAAGAACTTTTCAGATCTAAAAACAACAAAGTCGATACAATTCTTTACTGGGGTTTTTGAAGACAGAAACTGGGGGCTGAAAGTGAGTGCTCCATTGAAAGTTGCATCCATAGAAGAAGATGAGGAAAGAGAAGAGAGAATCCGTTATGTTAACGGGTTTGGAGAACAAAAAGAAGAGTCAGGATTCGACCCAGGGGCGCCGCCACCGTTCAAATTAGCTGATATAAGAGCTGCCATACCAAAGCATTGTTGGGTAAAGGATCCATGGAAATCTATGAGCTACGTGGCGAGGGATGTTGCTGTGGTTTTTGGCCTTGCTGCTGCTGCGGCTTATCTCAACAACTGGCTTGTTTGGCCTCTTTACTGGGCTGCTCAAGGGACCATGTTTTGGGGTATTTTCGTTCTTGGCCATGATTGGTAATTCACAATTTGCAGCTCAGCCTTCTGTTATTAGATCTGCCTCTCTGAATTTATATGTTTATTTTTATTAATTTTTGTTTAATTTGGGATGCTCTGGATTTCTTTGTGCAGCGGCCATGGGAGCTTTTCAAACAATCCCAAGCTAAACAGTGTAGTGGGGCATATCTTGCATTCTTCGATTCTTGTGCCTTATCATGGATGGTATGCTGTAGATTTGGAAATTTTTCTCTTTTCAATTTGTATATGTAATTTTAGCATGTATGCATTATACTTTTTCCTTTTTTTTGATAGCCAAGTTTGCATTATCCTTATCAGGAATTTTTAATTAAATTCATTTTAATTCTGTTTTGACTTTACAGGAGAATTAGCCATAGGACTCATCATCAAAACCATGGGCATGTTGAGAATGATGAATCATGGCACCCGGTTGGTTAAATTTCTCTGTTCTTTCTGGTGTCGGTTTTGGTCTCTTACCACCCTTTTGTTCTTCCTTTCCACCTAGTCTAAAATGTAAAACTTTGGTTAATTTTTGCAGTTATCTGAGAAGACATACCGGAGTTTGGATAATGTAACTCAAACATTGCGGTTCATGTTGCCTTTTCCCATGCTTGCATATCCTTTCTACCTTGTAAGTGTGTTGGAGCTTGGTTGATAAATTTGATCCTAGACGGTGAGAAATTAATGGCTGTTAATTTTACTTACAGTGGAACAGAAGTCCAGGGAAGACAGGTTCTCACTTTGACCCAAACAGTGATCTGTTTGTCCCAAGTGAGAGAAAAGATGTGATTACTTCCACCTTATGTTGGACGGCAATGGCTGCTATTCTTGTTGGGTTAGGCTTCACAATGGGTCCTACGCAGTTGCTTAAACTATACGGTATTCCGTACTGGGTAGGTTTCAATTTTCTTTTGTTCATCTATTTCCTCTATTGTATATATGATGCAAGCATATGTATCTCCTCACCAGTTAGAGAATTCAATTTGACTCGTCTTGGCTTTGTTGTTTAGATATTTGTAATGTGGTTGGATTTCGTTACATACTTGCATCACCATGGTCATGAAGAGAAGCTTCCTTGGTACCGTGGAAAGGTATAATTTTCCTACCATATTCTAATGCAATGCCGTCAGAGAAGTGTTTTTTTAAGGTTGAAAATTTGGATATTCAGACAAATGTTTTGTATGGAATTCCAAGGTTGACTTGAATGTTTCCTTGAAACAATCTTTGACAGGAATGGAGTTACTTGAGGGGAGGCCTTACAACACTTGACCGTGACTATGGATGGATCAATAACATCCACCATGACATTGGAACCCATGTCATACACCATCTCTTTCCTCAGATCCCTCACTACCACTTGGTAGAGGCGGTGAGTACCTCTCTCGTATGGTTTTGAGATTCTGATATTTCTTTGAATACAATTTCTAATCCATTTTGTTGCTTTTTTTACCTGTTTTGATCTCATAGACTGAGGCTGCTAAGCCAGTTCTTGGAAAATACTACCGGGAGCCAGAAAAATCAGGTCCTCTACCTTTTCACCTGATTGGAAGTTTGATAAGAAGCTTGAAGAAAGATCACTATGTTAGTGACACTGGAGATGTTGTGTACTACCAAAGTGACCCAGAGCTTAAAGACCCTTCTAAGTGAGCGATGATTCTTCATAACATTCCTCAGCTGGAACAGCGGAGAACTTGCTTAAGAGATCATTTAAGTTGTGAAGTAGAATTAACAAGGGCAATTGGAGCCCTTCTTTTTGAGGGGGTGGCAAGGCATATAATGCAGGGTATTTTTTTTTTCTATATTGCCATTAAGGAAAATTTATATTTATTCTTTACAAGAGAAATAACTGCTTAAGCTAAATTAACATTGATTGCTTGATTAAATCCTCTGCAAAAATGGAGAAAAGGAGTTCACAAAAGAATGAGTTCTTGTTATTTACCCTTAAGACATGTGAGAAATGGAGACATCAAGTTACCTCTTTACTTTCGGAAGTGGTCCCAATCAGAAGAAGTGATCAAGCCAATCACTACCATACATCATTATCATTCTTTAGTATTCTTCTTTAGTATTCTATTGATGTAGTAATGAGAAATTAGCAGTTTTTTCATTCCTCTTTCTTGGTGCTGAATCACTATCAATGATCAATATCATCACCTATAATCCTCTGACAAATGATTTGTCATGATCCTTTTGTTCCTTAGTGCATTCATAAAAGATTCTCTTCCTTTTCTTGCCCCCTGATTCACAACCAAAAGAAAATCATATACAAATTTCTAAGAACTTGAAATCTATTTGATACTATAAACTTCTAGTTTCTAATCTTTAGGCAAAGTGAAGTCTTGGAGCCTGCTAGATACATATGGAGTTAACACTCCCAAATTCGAGCTAGAGCTAAATGTTAGTGGTAACAATGGAGTATTCCTCTACATTTCACATAAAAAACACTAAATTTTCTTTTGGCAATAGTTCTTTCACCCACTTCCCTTGTAAATTCCTCTGACAATATAATCCGAATTCATTCCAAAGTCGACCGGAATTATATCTAATCTTTCATATTCGGGTCGAATAATATAAAATACTTATATTAGAGACTACCCTTATGGTCCTAGATTGAACTTCTCAGCCCGTATACTCTGGGCTTTTAATGACAGACTCTGGTCCAAGATTTCAACGGCAAAAAGCTTTTAAATACAACACCGAATCTACATGAAAATGATAGGCCAATCATGGCCCAAAAGAACTATATGAACATGGAAGAATTTTCCTAGAAGTTTGTCAGTAAGGACCAGAGTGAGTCGGTGGCTGGCAAAATTCGTACCCCACCAAGATTTGAACATCAAAAAGTCCACAACTTCCGCTGCCCAGAAATTGCTTTCCTTCCTTCTTCAATGGTGAAAAAAAAAAACACAAGCCTAAAATAGCCATCGTGGTCCCCCCCGTTGGGCAATCCTCTTATTCTGTAAGCATGGCATGGGCGCGTAGCCTAACGTGAATCAATAAATATACTCTGACAAGACTGAGTTAAGGCAGATGACTGCATACAAATTTTGTCTCAATGCACTTTATCGTACACTCTACACGCGACTTAATTGCGCCTAGGTCTTAGCATTTTCCTTGTTTTGCGGTGCGAATTGGAAAACCAAAAGCCAGCTCCCTATGATGCATGGACCGACCTCCTTCCTAATCCTGTGAAATCAATACAAAAACTTGAACTCAAAGCCCGCCCCTCTTGGTTTCTTTCGCAGGGTTGGTTGTTTTTGCTGACTAGTTTTTGAACCTTGTCCCTAGCAAGAATCATCTCACTATCTACAACCAAGCTAGTCTCTCTCACTACATTCTTTTGCTTCTGTTTTTTTTTTCTCCCCGTTGGAACCATGAGCAACACACAAAGTCCTAGTTCTGGGTGTTTTTCGGCCGTTTTCCGCCGGCTTCTTTGTTCAGGGAGTCCTCAGACACATCCATCGGAGGACATTAAAGAGTCAAATACAAACGGGTTTGTTGGTGATCAGGCTAAGGTTCAAGTCCAAACTTCTGAAAGTGGTCCTGGAATTGTGGCGAGGCTAATGGGGCTAGACTCATTGCCAGAAAAAGACTGGGTTCAGAAAGGTCAAAGTCCAGGCCCGGTTACACGGAGCAGGTCAGTCAATTTCATGGATTATATGCTGGAGTTTGATTTGACAAATGCCAAGCACCGCCGTGTGAAAACATCAGCGTCGTTTCGTGAGGTACCGCAAGGTCCGCAACTTTTGCAGCATAATCATAATCATGAATTCTTGGTTGTGTACTTGGATAGTGCGGATAACAGAAATGAAGCAGGGTTTAAGCCGAGGAAATCTGAGAAAGGAGATGGATCAAGTAGTAAGCATGATAAGCAAAAGGAGAATGTGAGAGAGAAAGTAGCTTGTAAGAAGGAGAATCAAGAGAAAAACAAGAAGATAGCTAAGCTAAAGAATGAGCCGAGGAGAGTCTCTGGTAAACATTCTTTGAAGGCTGGTAGCTGCATTAGTGGAGCCAAGGATGTTCAGATTAATCGCGGTGCAAACTCAAAGGCAAAACGTCCTTTGGAGATGGTAAATCAAAAGGAAGCATCTGGTCTGACAAGAAAGAAAAAGAATCAACGTGAACTGAAGAAAGTTGAGTACTCTGAGAATAATTCAGAGGGTTCAAGCCCTGTTTCTGTCCTCAATGTAAATGATTTTACTGCCCACCAAGAAAATAGCATTTCAGGTTTGTGTTTCTAAACTTCTAAGCCATTTCAGCTTCTGTGAATACTGCAAAATTGTTGCTGTCCTTGCCATCTAACGTGATTATTCTAAACATTTTCCTCACAGCAGAGTTAAGGTCCTTGGAACTGAAGTCAGAGAAGAAATGGTCATCAAAGTCAGAAAAACATGACTCCCCCGCTATGGATTTTAGTGCTCGCATTTCAATCACTGAAGGTCTTGGAAAGCAGGAATATACTAAGAAGAATTTCGAGTTAACGGGTATCGAGGAGACTGAGTATTACATGGAGTTGGTGGGAAAGCCTTGCAAGTTGACAGAAGAAGATATAAAATTCTCAAATTGGATAGAACCCAAGAAAGTTTTCACGTTTGAGGACTTTGAGGAGATCTGTGCGGAGTTTGGGGAGCAATTACTTGATCTCATGATGCACCAGGTAGCAGATGAACTTGTGGGATTTCACATGCAAATCACTGGCTTGTAAAGCAGAGTTGTTCCATGCAAAATCTCTTAACTGGTAAACCTTGAGAATAACATGTGAAGGGGGAAATCCGTGTGAAAGGAGTCCGCCGACTTTGATTACAGGACCAGTTGTCTCTGCAAGCAGATAGCAGCAAGGATCTAGTGTCACGTGGCGTACGGATGTGTAGGAATAATGTGATCCATGTTCAGTTAACATGTGGGTAATAAATTAGTAATAGATTCCTTTTGGTCAAAAAATGTTTCCTCTCTGTTACGTGTGGGTTTCATGTTGCAGCTTTAGGCAGAATGTACATTTTCCACATTGATTTGCGCGCTGTTTTTTTATGTCTAAAATTTCCTGGGGTCTTAATTTGATGCTGCCAAGTGATCGATTCTGCATATTTTGAAATACAAATCCCTAATATGAGGCCATAGATAATGGACCACTCAGGGATCAAACCATTCCCATTGACCTCCAGATTGTGCATTGGGGTCCTAATTTCAGCAAAGTTTCTTTTCCCAAGGCGCTTCCTTGTGTACTCATCTTTGACTGATTCACTATTTTGTGTGGAACCAAACTGATGGGGAAGGACATGTATGCTTATAACCTCACGGGGAATTATAAAGCATGAAGCCAAAACTGATAGTACATTGTGAGAAAGGCAAAGGAAAGGCCCTCGTTTCTTTAGAAGAAAGTGGTTGGTTTTTACCCAGTGCAAAATCTAAAAGTGGAGCACACACGGGTTGCCCCTGATTCCTGAAACTTCAGATTGGTTGTAAAAAGTCAAGAAGTTTTACTGATTTCCTGAAGACAGTGGTATCACAACAGATGATTGAAGAAAAAGTAACACCGCTCGTTATGAAGCAGTTCATCTAGGACCAAAAAATGGAGAGAGAGAAGAAATATTGGATTCTCAAGCTCGGGTTTTCCAAAAACTGAGAGCTCTCTGTTGTTTTAGTTGCACAGAAAATGGCAGAGATTGGAGCGAGAATCTGACAGGCTCCTAGTCGAGTTCCTGCCCCTCTTGTTTTAGTACCACAGTCATGTTGTTTGCATCAATATGAGTTGCAGAAGATCTGGACCGAAATTTACGTTTTCTTCCTCCATCTGAGCATAGGGATCAGGGCTGCGGCCTTCTTCTGCATTGTGAGCGTAGTAGCAGAATTGTCGTTTGCATGAAGGTCCTTCGATGCAACCTAGGGTCGTCCAATATACAGAAGGGTGGTACCATGTCTCCCAGTTTCTATGTGCAAACGGGCATTGATCTCCTCTAGCAACCTCCACTCTCCACTGCATAGTTATACTTGCAGGAACAAGCAAAGTAATAGTGCTTCCTTAAGTCCCTTCTTCCATCCTTCTCCGCTGGATGCAGTTAAGGGCATTCTCGACCTGACACCCTTTTTTGCGAAGTTCTATCTTGTATGTAAACATCATAAATATGATCCAGGTTGTTTGGTTGGTTCTTGGTTCCTCGAAGCACTAAGCAGCATCCCAATAATTTCAGGAGAAGGTTTATCAGCATTGACGCGACCATATCGTAGTATGTATTGCACCACTTTTGGACTTATATACATTGCAGCAATCTTAAAAGGTGTCCTCGTTAAAACCCTGTTAGACCCAATTAGAGAAAAGAACCAAGCGATATATCCTCATCAAGTTTTTATCCTTCATTCTCCACCATGCGTCTGAAATTCGTCAGATCATCCAAGATACATGATGCAGCCAAATCTCATTGAGGAATGTTTGCAGCTTGCGCCATGGTGAAACTGAGTTGCCTAGTATCCTAACTTATTATCTCTCCCCCCCCAACTCCCGAGTTATGCAGTACTTGTCTTCAGATCACGAGGAAGCCTCTTTTAGCTATATCTGGAAGAAAGATTTAACTTCAACCTGTCAAATAAAGTTAGCAAGCCTTTTTTTCATAAAACCATAACTCCATTTCTAGGTTTCCATCAAGTTTTTGTAGTATCATCATTATCTTGCTTCTTTAGATGTACAATAATGAAATCTTTCAGGACCTGCAACAGATTAAGAACAAAAAAAGAAAAGAAAATGAAGAAGAAGAATACTTCAGGTCGAAACATTGAATCAAGAACTGTCTCGACCCCAGAATTACTGTCTTCCTCAAACTTGTACAAAGAAGTGAAACAGGATAGAAATTTAATAGTTTGAAACAAAAGTTTCCAAACCAATGAAAGCCACAACCTACCATGGCGGAAATTATTTGAGTCTTTGCATACAAAAGGCTTAACAAACAATGGAAAAAAGAATATTGCGGTTTAGGGCAAGTACGCAAGGAAAAATCTAAGGAAGTGGAAGTACAAAGAAAAAGCCAAGGCTTCAGATTACATTTCAATTCAAGAAATTGAAATGAAAGAATGGGATAAGATGACCGTATCTTGAGAGAGAAGAAATATTGGATTCTTGACCTTGGATTTTCAGAAAAACAGAGTGCTCTCTGTTGTTTTTGTAGTAGAGAAAATGGCAGAGACATTGAGAAGAGTCTGATAGGCTCTGGTCGAGTTCCTCCTCTCTTGATTCAGTATTTGGAATCTTTTTATTTCTTTGAAATTCATTTGGAGTCTATGTAAAATCAGATATAATCTTTCTCATTTCGAAAGTTGATAAGTAGAGGCAACATGAGAGATCCCAATCTGTTGACGTTGAAGCTTGTCCCAAACAAAGTGAAAATCAATTTCAATGTCTCATGCGGGACTGGAAGACAGGGTTGGCGTAAATATGTAGTATCAACATTGTCGCGATACATTGTTGAGATTGCAAAATTGAGAGTTTACGAGGAGATTGAACCCAGTATATTTCAGCCATGGTGGAAGTGACAACATAGTATTCAATTTCTGATTAAGAAGGTGCAATAAAATGGTAGAATATATGAATTTGTGGATATGCGATTATCTTTGTTGCCAGCTTAATCAATGTTGAATATGTGAGCGGTGAAATACAATGGAGAAAAATATTATATTTTTAAAAAGTGGACTTGAAGATGAAAAAATTCGTTGAAATAATAAGATGTTGGAAATATTTCTCAATTATAGATTTAAATTTGGAAAAATAATGAAAATTTTAAATTTTCGTCTGATTAAAAATACTCATTTATATCTTGTGTAATGTTCAAGAAACAATAAATAATTGGTAGATCATCAAAGGAAGAAATTAATGAATAACCTCATATATCAAAATAAATAAGTTCAAGGACAGCATTATTAGTTATAAATGAAATAGAAAACGGTGCATTTTTTTTCACTTGTCAGAGTTATATGAAAAATCAATATAAATAAAAGACATAGATAAATGAAATGAGTTGAAAATGTGATGTAAAATGGAGTAAAAGGAATAACAAAGTTAATTGTGTCAGTCTTGGAATAGAGCTTTGATAATGGCAACAGTAAAAGGAAGGGAAACAAAAAAAAAAAACCGATATAGGAAAATTAGTTATGTAAACTAATTTGTTTTACAAACTATATCTCCTTACTTCACCACTTGGAAACACTTAACTTATATTATAAGTTTAAGTAAAAAATCTTATAACCAATCATTTTTACTATTTAATCAAATTTTTTACTGTTTAATCAATCATTTTATAATTGATGGAAAGCAATGCAGAGGATTAATCCTTCCGCACTTCAAAGTACTTATTTCTTATTAGAAATAAGAAGAGAGACATCTGGGCTGCATAATGACTAGTCAGCACCAAATTATTAACAATGACCCAAGCCCAAACAAGACCTAACTCTTTAACTGGTTTTGGACTGACCCAGTACAGCCGTACCCATTTTAAGTTGGGTTCTTGAATTGGCATTGGTTAGTTCAAACAAAAAAATTTTGATATTTATTTTTAAAATTTATTTATAAATTTTCTAAGTAAGTGCAGATTATAAACCCATATTTGACAGGAAAACACTAAGAATTATTTGTATTTTATTTTGTATATATTGATCTGTAAAAAGAAAATAATCATAATAATAATAAAGTTTATTTTTATCCTTCACTTTGTACTCGAAAAAAATAATTTATTTTGATTTATTTATTTATTTTGTTTCAAATCTAATTTCTATTAATTTGTCGGTAGCTTACAAAATTTTGAAACAACTCAAAAAAAATTGATAAATATCAAACTTTTGGGGCCAATAAAGTGAATAACAATTTAGGAGGGAAGGAACAAATGAAAATGATAATTAAAATAATTAAAAAAAACTTTTAAAAAAATTGCCTCCGGCCTCTGTACACTTTGTCATATATGACCTCACACTTCTATTTTTTCCTTTCATTTTAATTTTGTTTTTTGGGATAAATATCTAATTTTCCTTAATAAATATTTAGCTTCAAAAAATAAAAAAAGTCTTGATATTGCCCCTCCCTTCCTCTAGGATTCCTCCCAAATCTCTCTCGTTGTCGAATACAAATCCCTTTATTCTTCGAAAACATAATAACATAAATAATATGCTATGTTAGTAATTAGTAGATACTCTATACCCAAAATGACAAAAATCCATGAAACTAAAAGATGCTCCATCACGCATGTGGTTTTTTTTTTTTCATAATTATCAAGTAATTTATTGCATATCTGATCTTAAATGATCAGCTTGTTAAAACATATTGCACAGACCAAGGAGGTCTGGTATTAACATGGGTAGATCTGAAACATAACAATTCACCTCATGTTAGAGAAAATTCATCTTTGTCTCAGGTATGATGTTAGTGTTGAGTTTTATATTGAGTAAGATTCTTATTTGTGTAATAACATTAAGTAGTTATATGATTTTAAACTTCTTGTCTCAAATGGAGTCTTAATTTCATTCCAAAGGTGAGTCTTTGGGAGTCTAAAGAGAACACCTTGTAACTCTGTCTTGAGTGTTCTTAAAGGCTATTCAGAGAGAGTGATGTACAAGAGATCTTGGGTTCACCGTTCACATAAATTCTTTGACCTGTCAGTTTCACCATGGAGATCAGGACTCAACCCTTTAGTTTTTTCAGTTCTCCTGATGAGCTATTGATAAGATGTTTGTTATCGGATGATTTGTCTACGTTCATATACATTGTGGAGAACGAAGGATGTAAAATTGATGAGGAGATCACTTGTGGGTGCAGGCAAATTGGATCTGACAGACGCACCGAATTAAAGAGAACACCTTTGATGCTTGCTGCCTTGTCTGGGAGTTTCAATGTGTTAAACTATATCCTTCAATCTGGTCAAGTTGACGTGGATAAACCTTCTTCCTCAGACGGAGCGACAGCCTTTACCTGTGCTCATTCTGCCGGCTCTCCTCCCAAAATCATTCAGGCACTGATTTCTGCTTCGAAGAGTTGTTCGTCGATCCCTCCCACAGCCAACAACGCAAACACAGGTCAAAATAGTAGTCAAGATAGGAATGAAGGGACCTCTGAACATGGCGAGTTGAACAGGAGATTTCCAGGGCAGGAGCAGAACATGGCTACCAATACCACTACAGCTAGTACTTCTAGACTCACATATTACATCGCTCGCAGGCTTACTGGAGATTTCCATGGCAGGAGCTGACCATGTCTACCGATCTCAATGGTGGAGTTGCCTGGCCACCTAATCCCTATGAATGAGTAGATTGGACATATCTGTGCCGTTTCAGAAGCTAGCTCCTATATTAGAAGAGCAGCTCAGCCTTTCTTCCATCAATAGTCTTGAAATTTTCATCCCTACCGTGAGATAAAACTCGGTAGAATAATCAGAACTTAGTTCATTCTGCAAATGGCAGTGCTTGATTTTTCCTTTCATTGATTTCATTCTGATAAAAATGTTTTGGTTGCTTACTCTCTTGTGGTGAATTGATGAATCCTGAATGATCCTAACATCGGTAATACATTTGAAAAATTTTAAAAATTATTTTAATTAAAAATCAGTCAATAAGTTTTTCTTTAATGAGTGGAGTAAGAAATAAGTATTAAAACTATTTACTACATTAGCAATGGTAGACATAATTGCTTATCTAAAATTGCCTATGATAAAAATATATCAATATTTGCTTTTATTAGAGAATAAATTTCGATTATCTATCTGGGAAGAACACATGCTGGAGTTATTGTTAAATTCCCTCTTTTTACAGTCATGCAACTTGGCAGTGCCTCTTGATTCATAGTCCTGAAAGTGTTATCTTTTTTGAATGTCAATTTGTTATTAAATTGGGAAAACATGCTCTGAGTAGCAAGTATATCATTATGCCTGTGAGATTTGAGAGTAGTTATATGTATATATGGGGGCCATTTGTTTTACTAATTAGTGGGCACTAGGCAATTGAATTCTAATATTTTCATAACTGTTATTATTTTCTTTATGGATCAGTTTGAGTATCATCTTGCTGAAGTCAAATGTTATGAATTAGATGCTTTGTAGTGCCAATGTTTTGTACTTTATAAGTGATTTTCCTTAATTTCATCATTATTTTCCTTTTTTAAATATCAACATTCCTTGTGAATATTAATCAATTTCTATGACTGCCTTTTGTTCTAGAAATTGGACAATCGTATAGACATTAATATCATGATTAGGTTTGGGGTTGACAATGAATGACCATAATGTTAAAAACATGATGGGCTGAAGGAAGAGTTTGAAGGCAGTGTAGTAATGGGATTCGGTTACTCGTTTAGGTTATTGGGTCAAAAACTATAAGATTTGGCTTGACAATGCCGGATTTGGAGAAAAGTAATGCTCAAAAGCGAATCTGTTGTGTGACTTGAAATTCACGCAAGGAAATACTTCTTAACCTAATGGACAGAGTTCTTCATTATGCTTGGGGATATGCTTTCGCTATGTAATCTGGACCCTGACCTTGAAAGCATGCAATAAATATGTAAAGAGCACTCAATCCTTTAGATATATCAGATCTCGTAATGAAAATGTGATCCAATGTTTGTTATCGGCTTATTTGTCTACGTTCAAATGCATAGTAATTGGATCTGATAGGCTCACCGTGCCAAAGAGAACACCCTTGATCCTTGCTGCTATTTCTGGAAGTTTCAAACGGGATGGTAAATATGAGGATGTAAATGGATAGTTGTTATTTGATGGTAAATATAGGATGTAAATGGATAGTTATTATTTGAGTATTCACGAGTATATATCCAATTCAATAACATAAAGTTTGGATAACTTATAATCAGTTTTGAGATACGTTTGGATAGGATTTTTAATTCTTGATTCAAGTTCGGATGAGTTTGGAGTATTACCTTTAAAATACTCTAAATTCGAACTTGATTATATTAATATTAAAATATTATATATAATGTTACAAAATTTTGTAAGTAATGAGTTTCAAACATTTGTCTTCCTTACCTTCAACATAATCTTAATCAACTTCCTTTCTTGTAAATTAATAAATATAAATCATATTACAAGGAATATAACTACTATTATATATATATATATATATATATATTGCAAAGTTTTATAGTTAATATAATAATACAGCAATCAATTACACTGGTATAATAGGAATTTTCATTTTAAAATATATAACATACATAATGTGCTTATGTATTAAGATGATGAAATATGTAGTTACAGATTATATATTTTAAATAGTTATATGTTAATATTAATATATGAATATTAGATAACCTACATATTAATAGATTATAATTATTATGTATAACTATATAGTAATGTATTATATTATAAAATATTATGTATAATTGTATAATTATATATCTATTATGTACTTTTAATATAAGTATATTTACTTTTTATATTGTGTTAACATTAAAAAATTATAACTTATAATTTACAACCAAGCATAAAACATTTTTAACATTTCAACATCAAATTTTACTAGAGAATCTATAAAAACTTTAGATTCTCGAAATGCATGCATAAAAATATATAAACACATGTAATTAAATGCATAGATATATCTAATTATTCTATGAAATTATAAAAATTTTATATAATTTATGAAAATTTTCTATATATAATTAATGTTGATAAAGAAATAGAGAAGAAAATGGACACAAAGATGGCCCATTCTACAATATGGTCATGATATTTGACTTTATTGTAAGGTCAGTAAATAATGACCTTCTGATTTATAAGATGGAATTGTAGTCGTGGATCAAAAGCCAATATTAACACCAATAAACTCATTCAACCGGTTTCTTAAAAAATTGATTTCAAATAATGAGAAAGTCCTTTGGAGAGAGGACTCTTCCTCACAGATGGATTCATATGAATTAGAGTTTCACTATGTAAAGGTCAAGTCTAAATTCTGATGAGTAAGATTAGGGCTTCATAGATAAAGTCTTATCTCCTATGATGAGTGGAATTAGAGTTTCACTAGGGATTAGGTATCTAAAGGCAAAACCTAAATTCTACTATTAGGGATTGGAAAAACTTAGTGTATCTTGAATCCCAATAGTTAGTATTGTTTCTCTTATCAAATCATAGATTACAGGTAAATCATAGATCAGCGATCTAGTATGTATGGTACATTGGTTTTATTTAATTGTAATTTTCTGTTTGGTAAGCAAGAAATAAAATATAGGAGAGAGGAATTGATTAGAGGGGAATAAAGAAAAGTATTGACTGGTTAGAAGTGTTTGTATGATGATATTGTTACCTTTGATCTTCGCTCGGGTACCATAGGAACCAAATCAATTCTACAGAAGGTAGATATGCAACACACTCTCTCTCTCTCTCTCTCGTGAATACAGTTGGTTGGGTTGTCTTTATTAATGGTTGGGATGTCTTTATTGCAGAAAGAAAGGCGTGTGTTGACCAACTGAAGATGAGCAACAGGAATACCGGTGGCCATGGTGCGAAATTGAATGTGAATTTGGCAAGACTCGGGACAGATTCGTTGAGAAGATATTGCAAGCTCTACAATATTGACAACATGGATTCTAATTCATCAAGGGAACAAATGCTCAATGCTGTGCAGCAGCATTTTGCCTCACAGACACCATTGCATGAGCAACAAGTGATTCCTGAATTCGTTGATGCGATCAGGACTCGGCACAAGGATAAGAAAAAATGAAGAGAACCTAGAATTCTTCAGAGGCTATTTTGCTATTTGATTTCTACCATCAAATTTCCTTCTTTCTTCGAACATGTTTATTGACCTTATGAATCAATGTACTATTCTAAGTCTCTTGAATCTGGTCTGGGCAAAATTGATATCTGAGCACTTACAATTGCTCTAAGTCTTCCTACCTACTTCACAAAATTCGCTGCTTTAACAGGCCCTAATACAAAAGTCAAGAATACTAGTACAAATACACATCCACGTTCCTACATTTTACCATTAAAATGGTCCATCTTGATCACCTAAACTCTATAAAATCAAGACTAAACAAAATTGATAAATTCAAGACTTTACCATTTAATTTGGTTAAAAATTGAGTTAGCTAATCTTTGTCGAGCATGGCAATTCAATTTAGAGCTCTTTGAAAGTATTATATATATCTAATTATTATTATTTTTTTTAGAGGGTAAGAAATTGAGTATATTGCTATATCAAAAGAAGGGGATAAGTATATCCCTGTACAGAGCAATGAAGTCGCATCCCATACAAAAATAAAGCTGCAGCAAAGCAACGCATACCAGCAAACGAAAAAACTATACATTTGATCAATACATGAAACCTTTACCCTGTACTTAGCAAATTCTATCAGCCAAGAGAGGACAACAGGCAATGAACCAAAAAAAGAATCATCAACACAAATGGATGATTC